CCCCAAAACCGCGGTCCTTTCCTTCCCTCTTCCTCCCTCTCTTCCTGCTCCTGCTCCTCCCATCTTACCACTGGATGGCGCTTCCTTTCCTATCGGACGGATCATAATCGTACGGGCAGAGGTAGTAGCCTGCAAGTCCTTCAGGTAGCGTCAGAGTAGCAAGAGACTCTCCTGAGTCAGGGCCAGACATGATCTCTGCCGCTATTCCGTCGAAGTAGAAGAAGATCTGTTGGACATGGCAGGGAGAGGAGGGGAAGGAGTGGAGGGGAGGAGTCGAGATCGGGGGTTGCAGAGAAACGAGGACGAGAACGAGGACGAGGACGAGGTCTGTGTTAGAAGAAATCAGCAGAAGGCGAATCAGCTGACGGTGCTCTGATTTGAAGTTGTGATCTTCAATTTCTCGATAGCTCGATGAATCGCATCACGAGTCGCCTTGAGATCGTCGTCACAGCACGTACGAGCAGCAGCAGCAGCAGCAGCAGCAGCAGCAGCAGCAGCAGCAGCAGCAGCAGCAGCAACCATGCCGACGACGACGATAACAACAATATCAACATGATTCGTCATCACTACAACATTCCCCTCTCCCCCCCCCTAATCTCCATCACCATCATCGCCACCTCCACCATTCATATCATCGTCTCATGCTGTTCATCACTTCTTTACCTCCTCATCCATGAGCGCCGTCACATTCTCAAGAGGATAACCTGACAGCTCCCTCAGTCAAGTCAGCTGCTCCTTCCGCCACCTACCCGCTATGAGAGGATCTTGTAGGATGCGAGCGAGAGCGGAGGCTCGAGGTTGCCTGACGTTCAACCGTCTTCAGAACGAGGAAGCTGCGCCATGGCCCGGCACCTCTCCGAGTTTGGGATCTTGTGTTTCTTCTGGTAGTAAGAGATGCTGATGATGAGCGCGTGGTGATACGGACATCCTGGCCGATGGAGTCAGAGGGCAACCAACAGCGTTTGATAGGAAGGGGAAGGGGAGGGGAGCGGAGGACAGGACAGGACAGGACAGGACAGGACAGGACAGGGGAGGAGAAGAGGAGGGCAGAGCAGAGCAGAGGATGGAGCAAGCAGACAGCTAATCCGCAGGCTTTTCATCCTTTATCCGAGACAGACAGGCAGTACAACCTGTGATGGGCTCGCGATGGACCAAGGAGCCGTGCGAGTAGGTGGCATGACTCTCCGTGCTCCCTACCAACTGCTACGGGCATCAACAACAGCCGCGTTCTCTCCTCCTCCTCCTCGTCCCTTGACTCGTCTCACCTGCTCCAGACCCTCCCCGTGCCTCCTGTCTCTTAGCCACTCCCCTTCATACCTGGACGGCAAGGTCAGCGTCATGCCCTTCCGGCTAACAGCTCTCACCAGTGTCCCTCCTTCCACAAGATCTTGCCCTGGAGAGAGCGAGAGGGAGGAGGGTCAGTGCCGTCGGCTCCTCCTGCCTCTTCTACCTTGCCGTGCCGTTGACCATCGTGCATGATCCCTTGGTAAACGTCTCCATTGGCGTACCTCAAGACTCCCTGCTGTCCGTTGAGCCTTTCCCTCCTCCTGCTCCTCCCTTACCATCCCCTCCATTGCGTCCTCGTAGAATTGCCCGTCGTATGTTGAGCCGTTGGCCCAAATCTGCGAGGAAGGTGTCAGACCTTGTAGGATGCATCAGTCTCGATCAGTTCATGTACACCATCCCTATCCTTTTATCAATCTCATCGTTGTCGTCTCCATCATCAGCATCATCGTCACCATTGTATTCATGTTCATGTTCATGTTCAAGTTCATGTTCATCTCCATCTCCATCTCCATGATAGTTTATCTTCTAGCTACTCTGACAAGCATCACCTGCTTCCCACGTCCCTGCCGCAGCCCTGACATCCACTCTCCCACATACTCCGCGCCTGCCGGCTGTTAGATCTGACCGTTCATTCCTAAGCTCACCTGTTGGCTCCTGCAGCGACCCATGTCCATGCATCCTGTCCTGAAGAGAATGTCTCGCGTAAAATTCCTCCTCCTCCTCCCCCTCCCCCTCCTCCTCCTCCTCCTCCTCACATCAATCCATTCTCCCGTGTAGAGAGCCCCATCTGCCTCGAAGTATGATCCTGAGCCATGTCGCATCCCCTCCTTCCACTCCCCCTTGAAGGAGCAGAGTAAGAAAAGGGAGCAGGAGGGCGAAAGGAAGCAGGAGCAGGTGCAGGTGCAGGTGCAGGTGCAGGTGCAGGTGCAGGTGCAGGAGCAGGAGCAGGAGCAGGAGCAGGAGCAGGAGCAGGAGCAGGAGCAGGAGCAGGAGCAGGAGCAGGAGCAGGAGCAGGAGCAGGAGCAGGAGCAGGAGCAGGAGCAGGAGTAAACGAATCAGCAAGTAATTTTCTCCGACGAGCATCGACACCTCATATCTGCTGCCAGCATCGAAGTCCATGGTCCCACTCCCAGACATCTGCAAGCGCGTCAAGAGATCAGAAGAAACAAACTTTAGCTCCTCTAGTTCATCTACAGCTCAATCCCCTCGACTCATCGTCATCGTCCTTTGTTGTCGTCCTCTTTATCTCAATTCGGACTATGTCTGCCTTGTTCGTAATGATGATGGCTATCCTCATCATCATCATCATCACCACCACCACCACCACCACCACCACCACCACCACCACCACCATCATCATTATCATCATCATCATCATCATCATCATTTCCATCTATCATCATTTCCATCTCCATCGTCATCTCTTCCTCCTCCTCCTTCATCGCTATCATATCAGCGCACGTGATGCGTTTTGTCATCGTCAGTATGGCTTCACCTTGCCGTTTTCTATCCTTCCTGCAAACGTCCCTGTCTTGTTCGAGATGTCTCCCTTGAGAAACATCAGGATGTTGAAGCTTGAAAGAGAAGTGAAACGTGGTCGCAAGAGGAAAGATTCGCAAAGACAAGAACGAGAAGTGTGCTAGAGAGGACAAGGATGAGAACGAGAACGAGGAGGACGAAAGAGAGGAAGAAGGAGGAAGAGAACGAGGACGAGAACACAGACAAGGACAAGGACGAGCATGAGCACAAGAGTTTCAGCAGCTCACCCATCGTCCATTCGCCGAGAAAGTCGCTGGGACATGCACAACGTCTCCTGCGGGGTCTCGATGAGCCGAAGGAGGGGAGGAAGAACCTGGAGCTTACCTCTCATTGCAGCTGACAGGACAGCCTTCACGTCTTCACTCGTGGCGATCTGGAAGTTTGAAGTTTCAATCAGCACCAAGAGAACGGATGTCGAGTCATGTGTGTGTTTGTGCAAGTGCAGGAAGCAAGTGCCATTGGAAAGCAGATGCAGCTGCTGCTGCATGAACAACCACAAAAAACAACAGCAAGCACAAAACAAAGCATCAGAGACTTGTGAATCGTGGAAAAGAGCGAGAGCTTGTCTCTGGCCAGTAACAACCTGCAACGGCGTCTTCTTGGCTAGGTTTGTGATGTTCGGATCGGCCTTGAGCTGTAGGAGGTACCTTGCACATTCAGCATGTCCATACTTGGATGCGACTGTTGAACAACAAAAGTCTCATTCTGCACTTTCAACAACAGACAACAGCTACTGTGCAAAGGAGTCTGGAAGTAGGGCGAATCTAGCGAGTCGACGCTTGCACGGCTTGCGAGCAAAGTTCGCACTATCTGCAGAAGTTGTGAATGATTCCGATGAATCCCCTCCCCCTTCCTCCTTCTCCCCTGTCTCCCCTCTCCCTGTCCCCTCCCTCCCCTTCCCCTCCTCCCCGCCTCTCTCCCTCCCCTCCTATCTTTCTCCCTTCCTCTCTCCCTCCCTTTCTCCCTCCCTCCGTTCTCTCCTCGTCGCTCTTCTCTCTTGTCTGATTTTGTCTCAACCTCAACATCTCCACGCACACACGCAAAATGCAGCGCTGTCCAGCCGCTCGAAGCATCGCGAGCATCGAGATCAATCGCCTCATCTTCCTGATGCATTGAAACATCACTCTTCAAATCACATCAGGTGTATAAGAATATCAGGAGGAGCAGGAGCAGGAGGAAATGGAGGTGGTAGAGGAGGAGCAGGGGGAGCAGGAAATGGAGGTGGTAGAGGAGAGCAGGGGGAACAGGAAATGGAGGTGGTAGAGGAGGAGCAGGGGGAGCAGGAAATGGAGGTGGTAGAGGAGGAGCAGGAGCAGGAGGGAATGGAGGTGGTAGAGGAGGAGCAGGAGCAGGAGGAAATGGAGGTGGTAGAGGAGGAGCAGGGGGAGCAGGAGGACCTTGAGAATCTTTGTAACTGTGTCCACCCTTCCAATCCTTCAAGGAGATAATTTAAGACCACAACGATCGAGGTAGAGGGGATAGATCACCTGCAAGCATGATGCAGCTGCCGCAGACGCTCTGCTTTCTCCTTCTCAACCGCGTTCCTGCTACAACACGATCAGAGTTGATATATCGTCCAGTATCCGGACCGTGATCCTCTACTCTCGTCAAACGAGAGTTCTTATTTTGCTATATCAACAACACATCACTGCTGTTTGTGGATGTCATAATTGCTTCATGATCCGGTGTTTGTTATGTTCAACATAGTATCGCTAATCGACAGCAGGGACGAGTTTCGAACCATCTCCCTCTTACTGAGACATACCCTACATCCTCTCATTCCGATCCTGCACCTCACAGGCTCTTCACCTCCTTGTTTCTCCCTTCCTCTCATCCCTTCCTAACTCCCTATCTCCTTCTTCATTCGCTCCTCCCCCTCCTCCTCCTCCTCCTCCTACCTGAGTTGATCCGCCATAGTTCCCCAGTCGGGCAGAGTGATGGGCAGAGCGGGGATGTGACTCCGGGCCAAGAACCGGCACCGCCTCAGTGACCGTCGGACTTGCCGCACGGCCTGGCCGACCGTCTGCCCCGGCCTTGAGCTGACCGTAAAGATCCTGGGCCGGTGACGGAGCACAAGTTTGTTAGACTTGTGCTATTTTTGCTCAAGACCGAGTTTAATGCACACGAAAACCAGAATTGAGGAGCACATGAGAGGTAGACTGTTACGATGCTAGGATGTGAAACCCAAGCATCCAGACATGAGGGGGCCTTAGCAAGACGGCTAGGAAAGCCCCCTCTTCGTCCCACACGCTACATGGCCCCCTTGAAACACCGGGAGCCTCGCACTTCGACGGTCTCCCCGGCCCCGGGAGGCCTCCTGACTGAGGCTTCAGTGACTGACCGTACTGTGTACGGTGAGCTTGTCAAATTAAAAAAAATCCACCGTAAAAAAAAAGACTTCAAGTTTGACAGCCTCATGCGTGCGCGCGAAGCCTGAGGATCCGGAAGCTGAAGGAGATGGCGAAGAAGAAGAAGAGCAAGAGCTCTCAGAGCGACACCTACGAAGCTGTCGGGAGACGAGACTCAGAGCAGGGAGGAGATGAAGGGGTGGATAGTCGAGCTGCATCGCCTCCAGGCACCAGTGTAGACACTGCGGAGAGCGCGAGATGTCAGGAGGTAAGTTGACGCTCATGACATAGAAGATGACATACTGAGACATGTATGTTAGACTATGGAGCTTCAGACTGTGAGAGTGGCTGACGTCCATCAGCTCAAGCAAGCGATCACCGAATTCTCGGATTGTTGTAAGCTCGTGTCAGATTACGAAGTAGCAAGGCAGGAAGAGATCCGCACGCTAAGACAAGAGCTGGGTCAGCTTCAGAGCACTGTCAGGACCTTGAGATCGGCAAACTACATCGAGCCCCTCAAGGCTATGAAGTCGCTGATAGAGGAGGCCGAGAAAGATTCCTGCCTGTTGCTGTTCGGCCTCCGAGCTGGGGTTGAACATGGAGAAGCATTGAGCCATCGATTGTTAGAGGCAGAGCAAGAGCTTCATCGCCTGAGGAGAACGAACAAGAAGGAGGCCTTCGACCACCAACGGCACCTCACTTACATCCAGTCGTCCATCGTCCATGAGTGCGACAGAGTCCATGACGTCAAAGAGGAAGTGCTGGCAGCGGTATCATACCTCAGAGCTTTGCCGGACAACAGCAGCCTCCTGCAGGACCTGCAGGAGAGGCTCAACGCAAGCCTGCAAGAGAACGACATGCTGCGAGTGAGGGTGACCGGGTTGACACACCGGGTTGCATCATACGAGTCGATGTTGGAAGACCTGGAAGAGGAGATTGTCAAAGCTGCAGAGGCAGTCCAGGTGGTGAACGACCTCATGGTAAGAATGGAGGAGACTTGGAGCAAGAGGGAAGAGGAGAGGAGGAGCCAAGCAGCGATGATCAGCCGGTTTCAAGTCAACCTTCATCATCACGTCTCCGTCCTTTCTCATAGTCACAAGGTCCAAGAGGTGCTGGAGAGGAGACTGTCTCAGCAAGCTCAACGCATGGAAGTCTACAAGGACTGTTTTGAAAAAGTCGCAACCAGTCTGACTCATTCTGACCTCTCCGCGTGCCTTGAGAGAGAGTTACAAGATCTTCAACAGAGTCTTATCCTGCTGGTTTGAACCATTCGGCTCTCCCTGCGTTAGGTAGCAATGCTGAGACGAACGAAACAGGAGGAGAAGCGAGGGAGTGACAAGGAACGAGCCAATGATGTCATGAGAGAGAAGTCAAACATGCAGGGCTACATGTAGGCAGTGCTTTGACTCGATCGCGATGTTCTGACATGCTGAGAACCAGCTTGCAGTCGGCGGATGTCGTTCGACAACTGGAGGCTGAGGTGACCAGCATGAGGGTGGAGTGGGAGCGTCAGGTGCAAGAGAGGAAGGCAGAGGCGGACAGGCTGCTAGCCCAGCTCGAGACTTCCAACAAGGTGCGGGAACATTCTTGGACGGTCGAGGGCAGCGAAGGGGTGAGCACGTTGGTATGCAGGAGAGGAAGTTTTTGCGAGCCGTGAATCACGAGCTGCTACGAAGGTCGACTGACTTCGATGTGAAGCTTCTCCTGCCATGCTGAGCGACTCGTCAACTGATCGGGTTGTTCAAGGTGATCGAGGAGTTCTTCCAGGAGTTTGACCAGCTGCCAGCGGGCTGGAACGGAGGTGGGGCGGACGAAGCGGAGGTCCGCTGCTTGCAGGACTGGCAGTCGAGGTGTGAGAGGTCGCCGGGCCGGCTGGGAAGGCTTGACAGGTTGTTTGCGGCCATGTGGTTGCTCTCAGAAGAGGAGGTGACCTGCCTGTAAACCTCCAGCTGGAGCGAAGAGGAGGACAGTCAGTCTCCGCAGCAGACCTCCTCGTCGTCCCTCCTCATCGACGGGGTGAGGGGTTGGCCTGCGCTGCATGCCGGATGACTGAGACCGCTTGACCTCCGTCAGTTCGGTCGGTTTGTGCGGAGGCTTCAAGGTCGCCTGCTGTACTCCAACGAGCTCCGAGCGAAGGTGTGCAGGGGGAGAAAGAAGGAGGAAGGAGGAAGGGAATGAGAATGGAGAGATAGGAGGAGAGGAGAAAGGTGAGAATGGAAAGATGGGGAACAAGAGAAGAAGGAGAACGATGGAGGACGGTGGGATCTGGGAAACAGAAACATGACGAAGGAGTTGGTCTCGTGATCAGGCTGTAATCATTCCTCCCCCCCAGGTCGACGAGCAGGAGCAGAGGCTGCAGCTTCTAAGGGAAATTCTCCCTCAGCTGCAGCGAGAGGTCTACGAGATGGGGACAGAGGTTAGCCTCCTGGCGGAAGAAATGGAGGAGAACAAGCAGCTTGTTACCTCCTCGGTCTCTCTTGCCCTCCGCCTCCTCGGCTTCCACCCTGAGACGCCATGGCAGGTCAGCTCAATCAGCGACTCTCTCAACATCTCCGATGAATGTCTCCACGAGATCGACGCGAGGATTGTCAACATTCATCAGAAGGTTCTGGTCTGCCGTCATTGTCTTCACGCTGACAACCTTCCTACTCCTGCTCCTGCTCCTACTCCTGCTCCTGCTCCTGCTCCTGCTCCTGCTCCTGCTCCTGCTCCTGCCCGTCAAGGTTGAGAACATCTCAAAGAATTCACAGCTAGCTCTGGAATCAAAGGTGATAACAGCGTCCCCCCTTACTTCAACTCTTCACTTTATGACATCTGTCAGGACATGGAGCTTAAGGATCTGCGAAGGCTTCTTATGCAGAGCGAGACTGCAGCTTTGCAAGTCAAGTGGGGAATCTTCATCTCCTCCCTCCCTCCCTCCCTCCATCTCTCCCTCCCTCCCTCCCTCCCTGCCTCCCTCTCCTGCCTGCCTGCCTCCCTCCCTCCCTCCATCTCTCCCTCCATCCCTGCCTCCCTCTCCTGCCTGCCTGCCTCCCTCCATTCTCCTTGCTAACTTGACTGCCTGCCTCCCTGCCTGCCTCCTCCTTTCTCTGCCTGACCTCCTGCTTGTGACTTGAAAATTCAAAGTGAGGACTTATCCTTGTACACGGAAGCACAACTCAGGATTGAGAGGTTGACCAACAAAATTTTCCTTGAGAACAAGATGCTGCGAACCAGCAACCTGGAGCTCTCGCGAGAAATCTTACAGGTTTGTCTTCTCTTCGTCGCTTATATGACTTGCCCTCCTCCCCTCCTCCCCTTCAGCCGCTCACTTCACAGTGACGTTCTTACTCGTCCCCCAGCTTCGAAATCTCTCCGGCCTACAGCGAGCGGAAACTTTTACCCTGCCGCTCACACCCCAAACTTCCCGTAGACGTCGGCGGGAGACGTGAAGGACGGGAGGGAGGAGAGGGAAGGGAGAGGATAGAGGAAGGAGGGATAGAGGGGGAGGAGGAGAGGAGGAGGAAGGTACAGGGATTCCTGAGAAATGCAGAGAGTCTGACTATGGCTACGAACAAGTAGAGCTGGGCCGGTGCAGTTGGCAAGAGCAGACAGGGAGTGCATGGGAGGGGGAGGGGAGGGCTACAGAGTTTGGAGGAGCAGGAGAAAATATTCAGTGTGCTGGTTGTAAATATCAAGAACAAGTTCTCGAGCGAACGTGCAGCCTCGGAAACGAGGAGGAGGAGACAACCCGTTGCTTCTTGCCCGACCTGACCCAAGAGCTCATGATGGTGGTGGTGCTGCTGCTCCGGAGCCAACTTGCTGTCTGTCCTGCTGCTGCTGCTGTTTTACCTCGATGTGCTGCTGCTGCTGCGTTTGTGGCTGCTGCTGCACCTGATCCTGCTGATGCGACTGATGGACCTGCTGCTGCTGATCCTGTTGCTGCTCCTGCTGCTGTTTTACCTCGATGTGCTGCTGCTGCTGTGGCGCCTGTGGCTGCTGCTGTGTCTGATCCTGCTGTTGTGACTGATGCACGTGCTGATGTTGTTGTTGCTGATGCGACTGATGGACCTGCTGCTGCTGATCCTGCTGCTGCTGCTGCTTTACCTCGATGTGCTGCTGCTGCTGCTGTGGCGCCTGTGGCTGCTGCTGCACCTGATCCTGCTGTTGTGGCTGATGGACCTGCTGCTGCTGGTGGTTTACTTCGACATGCTGCTGCTGCTGCTGCTGCTGTGGCGCCTGCTGCTGCTGCTGCTGCTGCTGCTGCGCCTGCTGCTGCTGCTGCTGCTGCTGCTGCTGTGGCGCCTGCTGCTGAGGCGCCTGCTGCTGCTGCTGCTGCTGCTGCTGCTGCTGCTGCTGCTGCTGCTGTTCTTGCCGCTGTTGCACCTCGGCATCATAATTCTGCAGCTCGGTACGGAACCCTTCCAGGAATGAAGATACACAATCCCTCATCAATATCAGGCTCTCCTTTGCAAACTAGAACAACAAAATGTCATCAAACTCCCAACTCCCCTCCTCCTTCCCAGCCCTCACCGACTTCGCTTTCGGGATGACCTCCTTCCTTTTGATCCCCGTGGCCTCCTCGAGATCCTCAATGTTCCCCTTGAGGTTCTTGGCCATCTGTTCCGTGCTGGGAAACTTCACCAACCCCCGCACTTCGTCGACCATCTCCTTCATCTCGGCCCGTTTCTCCTCGTCCGATTTCTGCGGTCCCAAGGGCTTCTTGTCGTAGAGAGAAGTCCAACTGTCCTTGTACAACTGCCAGGCTTTCATCCACAACTCCTTGTGCTCCGCGTACGTGCGTTTCTTCCTCCAGAACGCCAACTTCTCGTAGCTGCCTCCAATTCAGACGTTGGTCAAACATGGCCCAGCGACTTACTAGGGGGGATCAGGGAGGCAATCGTTGGGGGGGACGTTGAACCCTTGGTCTTCGAGGAAGGCCTTCACCTTCAAGACTTTGACATCATACCATGCTCTCAACCGCTCCCGGAGTTTCTGTGACCTGCAGCAGCATTACCCCCATCTACACCTCCGAAGCACGCCTGACAAACCCGGTGTCCGTTGTTGGTTCTGATTTCTGCCCTTCAGAGAAAGCACGAAAGCTTGCCGGAGCCCATCTCAGCTTCCTGCCTGAGGCTGGGCATGCTCGTGCACACAGCGTCTTGAGAGAAGCCATAACGCCCCCTTCTCCCTCTCTCTCTCACTCCCTCTCGCTTTCTCCTCGCTCTCAACTATCGCTCCTCACAACCAACACAACCTTGTCCTGCCTTGTCCTGCCCTTGACTCTTCTCTTTCCTCTGTTGACCTCCTCTCCTCTCTCCCTTAGCGCTACTCTTCTCATTTCCTTGGTCCGTCAACATTGCTGCCCACCCCGCGTGCCATGCTGTTTGTCTGAAAAATGTTTTTTTTTATTTCATTTTAACTTTTACAGTAACATGTAAAGGTGCGCCGAAATGAAGGCCTGGAGGTAGGGGAAAAGCGGCGGCGGGGTTGCATACTTGAGGCCGATGTACAACAGAAGGATGTTGATGGATATCTTCAGCATGTACACTAGAACAAACATGATAGTTGTCTTCAGCATGTACACTAGAACAAACATGATAGTTGTCTTCAGCATGTACACTAGAACAAAGATGATAGTTGTCTTCAGCATGTACACTAGAACAAAGATGATAGTTGTCTTCAGCATGTACACTAGAACGATGATGGACGTTGTCTTCAGCATGTGCACTAGAACGACGATGACAGACATCTTTAGTCTTGCTTTCTCTTACGAGCTCCTCAGGCTAGTAGCCAAGTCGCTTCCTGGACGGAGCTTCAGCTCAAAGAGTGTCAACCCAGGTCAGTCCCCTCCTGCAAACTGCGTACTCCTGCCCCTGCTCCTGCTTTGCATCGATAGTTATACGAGTACATCGCAGTGCCTCCCTTCCACTTGGCCTTCCCTGTCAACTGCCTCGAGCGATCGAAACAGTGAGTTCGTATGCCGCACGTAGACTGGCGCCGACCATGTCAAAGGTTCTACGGAGAAGTCCTTGGTTGCGAGGAGGGAAGAAGTTCCCCGGGCAAGTGGATAGATTTCTCCCTCTTCGGGCACCAGCTAGTCTGCCATTTCGTCGGGAAAGACTACAAGGCACCAGAATTCTTCAACCCCGTAGGAGGCGACGAGGTCCCAGGTGGACTTGAGACGCGTCAGCATCGCAGTCTGATCCCCTTCCTGCAGTCCCTCACTTCGGCCTCGTGCTGGAGAAAGAAGCGTTCCACAGCCTCGCAGAACGTGCCCCTGCCATGCTGTGCTGCTTGCTTCTTGACCCCTCTCACCCCCTTCAGGGCTGGACAAGGCAGGGGTCCAGTTTGTGATCCGGCCGCAGCTGAGGTTCCAAGGACAGCCTGGGGAGCAGTGGACGATGGTAAGGAGCTGAGAATGTTCTCAGAGGGGGGAGGATGCTGATCGTTGCCTTGTCAGTTCCTGAAGGATCCTTCCAACAACGTGAGAGCGTCTGCTGCGATGCTCCTGGCGTCTGCCAGCGACTGACATCACATGGGCAGGCGCTGGAGTTCAAGGCCATGACACACCCTGAGAACCTGTTTGCTAAGTACCAAGTGAAAGACAAGTGAGATCAGACGCTGCTGTATTGTACTACGGTAGCTCGCCCAAAGGCTGCTCTCCCGGTCCCACGCTCTCCTCCTCGCCCCAGTTCTGAACTGCTCAGGGTCCCCGGAAGTTACTGACCCATCCCCTCTCGAGATCCATCGGAGGATCTTAGAAATGAGTGAGCTGAGACTCCTCTACCTCTGCCGTCTGTTGCTCAAGGGTACGGTCTGCAACACAAGTTCAACGGTTCCTCCTCAAACTCGTACTGTACTGTTGATCGTCCCGGCTGAGCCCGCCTTTCATGCTGAAATGCGATCATGGCTGGATCAATCAGAGTCAGCCTTTTCCTTCACAGTTCAATCTTAACAGCTCTGATGGTAAAAGCCTGACTCTGTGAAAAAGCCGGTTGCTCAGACTGTATCATTCAACCCGGAATCCGCCGCTGGAGAGTCTCTCCGGCGGCCCGGCGCCGCACCCGGTGACCGGCGCCGGGCGTACGATCGGACCCCGGCGTGCCGGGGCCCGGCGGCGGCGTGGGTGCCGTGAACAGTTCTATCTGTGACTGAGGGTACTGGAACCGTCCCTGCGGACCTCCGACGGCAGACTCTGAGAAGTACCATACAGTGTTTCGTGGGGGTGGGTGATTTTTCAAAATTATAGATAAGCACAACCCGCCTCAGAATCGGAAACGGTTGAAATTCAAAAAGGCGTGCAAGGGTTGGGGAGGTGCGAAGGGATATGCAGAGGGGAGGAGAAGGAGAAGGGTCATCTACGGAGATGGGAGGGACGGAGGAGATGATGATTACGATAGAGATGGTCCTGATGACCATGATGACAACCATGCCAGAGACAATGGTCATGATGATGAGAATGATTGTAACTACTGTTGAAATGAAGAGGATGATGATGGAGTCGGTAACTTACCTTATGATGATGGAGTGCTGGAGAGAAGAATCATAGAGAGCAAGCGAAGTGAACATGGAAGAGCTTCATATTTGTCACAAACTATTCTACGTCTCTGAGGTGTTATGTTGGGGAAGGAACAATGTCTAAATGTGTAACCTCGACTCCGTTCGTGTCTGTTTGCTGTTGGAGTGAATTCAAATGCATCTTGAGTTGAAACAGCATCTCGATCAAGTTGAATATTGCACTGAAATGTTGCCAAGGTGTAGGATCAAGCATCATGACGTACGAGTCTCGCCCTTCCTTCATTACGATCGATGCTGAAATGGAAGCCAAGGTGAGCATGTCCATCAGCAGTCAGATGAACTCAATTGTTGTTCTTGATGTCGATGATGATGATGGCGGGTTTGATATGATGATGATGATGATGATGATGATGATCATAATTGCAACGAAGACAATGACGGAGATCATTCCAGGATGAGGGGTATGCCCCCCCAACAGAGATGCCCATCAGGAAGCTTGAATTCACTCCCTACAAGCCGACACACATCCCGGCAAACATCCAAGAGAACTTTGAAGCAGAGCCAGTCATCCAGCAGGCAGCAGACGGAGCCAGCGCGAGCACTGACAGCATCAAGGTGTTCCTGCGCGTTCGGCCGCTCCCTTCAGACTTTGGCAGTGACGGCAGCATCACCATTGTCGACGACACGACAGTAGCACTGCAGTTCCCTCCTGAGAACACCAGGGGCAACAGAGAGGACGCGGCGTTGCAGGCCAACGGAGGGGTAGGAGACCAGGACAAGTACCGGTTCACCCGCGTCTTCGGCCCCGGCACGCCCCAGGAGTCGCTGTATGAAGAGACTGCGCTGCCTATGGTCAAGGGATTGTTTGACGGTCAGAACGGGCTGATCTTCGCCTACGGTCCTACCAACTCGGGCAAGACGTTCACGATCCAGGGGGACAAGGGGGAGAAGGCCGGCATCCTGCCGAGGTCGTTGTCGACGGTGTTCAACGAGGTGGACGAGAGGAACGCGAACTCTCAAGAGGACTGGACGGTGTGGGTGACCTTCATGGAGATCTACAACGAGAACGTGTACGACCTGCTCGACGTGCCTCCTGATAAGACCAAGAACGAGCCCAGGAAAGTGTGCAAGCTCAAGGAGCACAACGGGCAGGTCCACATCAAGGGGCTGCGGGAGCTGCAAGTGAGGAACCTGGAGGAAGCGAAGCAGGTGCTGCGATATGGCGCAAGGCACCGGCAGGTGGCGGAGACCATGATGAACGACGTGTCGTCCCGCAGTCACTCCGTGTTCAACATCAAGCTCGTGCCCAACAGAGGGAGCGAGACGGACCCGACGGAACCTTCGCAGGTGTACAGCAAGCTGGCCATCGTCGACCTGGCGGGGTCGGAGAGGGCGCTGAAGACGAAGGCGACTGGGGAGAGGCTGAAGGAGGCGTCCAACATCAACGTGTCGCTGATGAACCTGGGAAGGTGCCTGGAGGCGCTGCGGTGGAACCAGATCAACCCGAACCGGGTGGCGCACGTGGTGCCGTTCAGGCATAGCAAGCTGACTCGGATCTTTCAAGATCACTTCCTTAACGCAAGCAAGATGGTGATGATCGTGGCTGCCAACCCGAACCCCTCGGACTTCGACGAGGCCCGACAGGCCTTGACGTACGGGGCGATCGCCAAGGAGATCGTGGTGAAGAAGACGATGAACACGCGGAAGCCCCTGCCTGCCAAGAAGAAGTCAGAGGAGGCGAAGGCCCCTGAGGAGGTGAACCACATTCTCATGCAGCCCCTCCCCCGTCCTCCACTTTCTCTCCCCCTCCTTCCCCCCTCCCTCCTCAACTTCCTCCCCCTCCCACCCTCCTCGTGCTCACATCTCTCCCACTCTGTCTTCTTCTCCTCCGCTCGCCGGCCCCTGACGCCCTCAGGAGCAGCCGCAGGTGGAGGTCTGGGAGGAGGTGCAGGTCGACGACCTCATCAACGAGATGGAGGGCCTGCGAGCTCAGGTCTACCAGCTGGAGGCGAAGAACGCCCAGCTGGAGGCGACCGTGAGGGAGGAGGTGAGCGAGGAGATGATGAAGCAGATGGAGGAGATGGAGAGGGCGTTCCAGATCCGGCTGGAGGACGAGAGGATTACGACGGAGCAGAAGTTTGAGAGGAAGCTGCACATCATCACGCGGGAGATCTCGAGGAGGGAGGAGGAGGTGTCGGAGGAGGAGGTCAAGGAGCTGCAGGCCCAGCTCAAGTTCTACGAGCAGAGGGTTTCGGACATGCAGCGGGAGCACAAGGCCGTGCTCCAGCGGCTCCTCCCCGGCAACACGCAGCAGCAGGAAGAGGGGGCGGAGGAGGTCGGAGGAGACAGCACCGAGCAGCTGCGGCATCAGGTCTCCGTGCTCGAGGCTCAGCTCCAGGTGTTGCAGAGGGAAGTGGAGGAGAAGAACGAGGCTATCGAGGTGAGGATGAGGAGGGGCAAGAGAAAGCGACGGGCTGACGATATGAGCTCCCTAGGCGAAGAGGAAGCAGCAGAACGAATCTCGGGTCGTCCTTGAGGAAGCTGACGGGTAGAGAAGGAGGGAGAGGGAAAGGAGCTCGGGTCCTGATGTTAACCTACAGTGTGATCCGTCAACTCGAGCAGAAGTGCCGGCCTCTCCTCCTCCTCCTCCTCCTCGTCCTCCTCCTCCTCCTCCTCCTCCTCCTCCTCCTCCTCCTCCTCCTCCTCCTCCTCCTCCTCCTCCTCATCTTTCTCCTCCTCCTCCACCCACCTTCGACCTTTTCATGGTCACTCACTTGTTTTCGCAGTGGGCTGGAGGAGCAGAACGATCGTTTGAGGGGAGACCTCAAAGTCTTGCAGAGCAGAAGCGACACAAGCGAGCTCCAGGTGCTCCTCCTACTCCCCCGCCCTCACCCGCTCCTCTATCCTGTCTTCTCATTGTTTTCCTCTTGCAGGACAAGATCCATAACCTCGAGGCAGAACTCGAGAAGGAGAGGCAGAACAGCAAGAACCTCTCCGAGCTACTCAAGGTCTCTCTCCTCCTCCTCCTCCTCCTCCTCCTCCTCCTCCTCCTCCTCCTCCTCCTCCTCCTCCTCCTCCTCCTCCTCCTCCTCCTCCTCCTCCTCCTCCTCCTCCTCCTCCTCCTCCTCCTCCTCCTCCTCTATTTCTGATGGATCCAGCAGAAGCAGCCAGCCGCGCATTCAGAGGTCGAGGACTTCATCCCTGGGCTGCAGGTGGAGGACGAGGTGCAAGCAGGTGCGGCAGCGGATCCTCTCATGTCATTGCTGACTTGAGAGCAGGGAAGAGGAAGAGCGAGGAGAACATCGAGAACCTCCAAAACGTAAACCTGCCTCCTCTCCTCCCCCTCCCCCTCCTCCTCCCCCTCTTACTTCAAGGATGATGGTCTACAGCAGGGGTCCACCAAGAAGAGAAGCACAGTGAAGAAGCCAGCAAACGGAAAGGTAGCTCTCCCTCCTCCTTCTCCTCTCGCTTCTCACATGCGATCTCAACAGAGCATGGTCGATGACTGTCCCATCCACCTTCTTGCGTACATGATGCCTGAGGATGAGTCCTACACCAAGACCGGACGCAGCGGTGAACCTTCTCCTTCCCTTCCAACCACCTTCATTCCCTCCTCCTCTCAGCTCCAATTGAACGTCATGGCAGGAATGAAAGACAGGGCCCCACTCTCTCCTTCCTCTGCCAACATCAAGGCCAACGGAAAGGTTCACCCTTGCTTCCCTCCTTCTGCTCCTCCTCCTCCTCCTCCACCTCCTCCTCCTTCTCACGCGAGAGCAGAAAAGCATCGAGTCTTCTGCAAAGAGGGTTCGGAAGCTTTACAACGGAACTGAGAGCGCAGAGGAGCTGAACGAAGCCGCCGGATCAATGCTGGTACTTCCCATCTCTCTCCTTCCCTCCTCCTCCTCCTCCTCCTCCTCCTCCTCCTCCTCCTCCTCCCTCATTTTGCATGCTCACAGAGATGTTCCGCAGGTTGAGCCTACACCCATGGCTCGACGTCTTCGCAGCAGCCGCAGCCAGGGGCTGGAGATGTGAAGACCCTAAGAAAGAGGAGAAGACTGACGCGCGAAGCTGCCGTAACCTACTGACTGTTTGATAGTAAATGCTTCACCAACAAATTGCCTCCTCCTCCTATTCCTACTCCTCCAACCGCCACCACCACTGCATCCTCCTCCACCTTCCTCCCGCTATCCTCATATTCACTTTCAGTTCTCCTCAGTCTTGTAGATCGCATGCTCGTGCGCCTGAGAGCCGTGCTGGTGTTGATGCCAGAACTTGATGCCGTCCTCGAGCAGGTGCACATGCCCATCGCCCTCCGCCTGCACAAAATTTGCCTGGTGAGAGTGACGGGAGTCCCCATGGTGATGGAAGTGGGAGAGGGAGATGGTTCCGATGTTGTGGTGATGCTCCTGCAGCAGGAACATCCTGAACATCCTTGAGAGCTTCACCGTCCGAACCTGCTCTGCGTCCTCCCCACACTCAGCTGCCTTCATCATCAGGTTCACCACCTCCATCGCCTCCTCGGCGTCCCTGCAGCCCAACAGATGACGTGGCACCCTGACTCGGTCGAGCGACCTCTCCACTTCTTCCATCTTGCAGCAGAGAACAAAGTCCTCCACAAGTTCAGCGCACCTCCTCCTGGTGCTGCTCGACTCCACCAGCAGCCGGCAGAGCTCCTCGATGCCAGCAGCACGATGGATCTCTGTCAGCGCGCTCCTCACTACCCGCTCGTTGAAGGCATACTTCTGACATGCGTGTTAGCGAGGGGGATGAATCGTGGAGGCGGGCAATGTTCCCTGCAAGGAACATGATGCAGACAATGTTCCTTGCAAGGAACACCACCTGCCCTCTAACTCACCTCGGGCGTCAGAGTCTCCTCGATCCACGGAGAGATCCAGTTGCACGCCTCCTTGATCACGCGGAACAGGATAACCTTGCCGGACAAGTCGAGGCAGGACAGCGGGTGCAGGCACCAGTCGCTGAGCAGGAAGACGTCCAAGTACAGGGACCGTTTGAGCAGCACGAACAAGGAGAAGAGGACGATGATCCCGGCTGAGACGAACTGCAAGAAACCCACCGCCATCTCCAGGGACGTCAGGTTGAAGGCTCGACTCCTATGCATCCTAGCCCGCGGCAGCTTCTTCAACGCAGGGAAGTGCTTCCTAACCATCTCGTTCGCCTCGTGCGAGAACTGCAGGGCGAGGGACCGCTCGGCGCGAGGAAGCATCTTGGTCACAAGGGTAGCGAATTGTCTCTCCACCAGGGTTATCGGGAGAGTCACCAACGACAGGAGCACGGCCAGGACCTCCACGTGCAGGAGCTGGGAGCAGATTTGCAGGATAGTGACGCAGGTGGATATGATGCAATAGAGGAACCTCCGCCTGAGAAACACTCGGACGTACTTGTCGCTCTCTTCCCTCCCATAGAGCTCCTGACAGAGCCTCGAGGTCTCTTGGCCAATGTAGTCTAGGATCCTGTTTTCATGCGCCTGGTTGGAACAAGTCAAGAAACGTCATGCAGCGGGGCCGTAACTGACCTTCCAGCCAAACATGAACCTTCCCACCTTCTCGTTGACGATCAAGGCTGCTCCTTTGCATAAACGGAGGTGCAGGGTAATGTAAGCCTTCCGCCTTATCATCGACAGGCTGTACGCCTCCCTCATGACATCATACACCCCGGCGTTCAGGAATTCTTCATGTGAGCAGGGTGTCTCTCCTTGCGAAGACGTCGTGAGCAGCTGCTTCTGCTGCCCTCTCGCTTCCTCGAGGCTGTCGAGTACTCCCATCTCCACCTGCTCCATGCCGCCGCCGTCCTCTCGGAGATAGAGAGACATCTCGGAGAGGTCTCAGGAGCTCTCAGGAGAGCATCTACATGCACAACAAGTTCAACGTCCCTGTCATGTCTTCTCCGCCATGACCCCGCCCTTCCCGCTCTCTTCCTCCTCGGCACAAACTCCCACCATTGTCCTGCTGCCCTGAGTCGTCCCCGGAAATTTTAGACGAGGCGGACCCGTTGAAATTCCGAGGGGGACCCGGATATTTTCTTTGAGTAAAAGTTGATTGCGGGGGTGCGCAAAGAATGCTGCAGGAAGGAACCAAGGCGGTGGTGGTGCTGAGCGGGAAGGGAGGGGTGGGGAAGAGCTCAGTGGCTACAGGAATCGCCATCAGCCTCTCGGAGGAGGGGAAGAAGGTTGGGATCCTCGACGTCGATCTTTGCGGCCCCAGCGTCGCAAGGATCCTGGGCCTGGAGGGAAAGGAGGTGAGAGAAGGCAGTGGGGGGTTCATGCCGGATAGACGTGTTGATGTCGAACTGCTGTGCTGTTCTTTTTGTTCATTACAGATCATTGTGTGATGGGTTCAAGTGTCGTGCTCGATTTTCCGCTGATGATCCAACATTTCTGCAGCGTTGCTGAGCGTGCAACAGGTGATGCAGTCGAGCGAAGGTTGGATTCCTGTCCAGACTGACGGCGAGAATCCTCTCTCTGTAATGTCGGTATCATTCCTGCTGGCAAGCAGAGACAATGCAGTAGTTTGGAGGGGTCCGAAGAAAAACGCCATGATCAAACAGTTCTTCACGGACGTGGTATGGGGAAAGTTAGATTACTTGATCATCGACACGCCCCCTGGGACTTCGGACGAGCAGCTGTCTTGCATAGAGTACCTCAAGGAGACAAACTTTCTAAATGGGGCCGTGTTGGTGACCACACCGCAGTCTGTGTCGCTCGTGGACGTGCGCAAGGAGATCTCGTTCTGCAGGAAGCTCGAGGTCCCCATTCTCGGCATGGTGGAGAACATGTCTGGCTTCCAGTGCCCTTGTTGTGGTGAAGTGACAGACATCTTCTCCCGAGGAGGAGGCGAAAAGCTGGCGATCGAGATGGGCATGAAGTTCCTTGGAAGAATCCCCATCGAACTGAAGTGGAGTGAAATGGAGGACAGGGGCAAGATGACTATCCAGGGGGAGGAAAGGAAGGCGGTCATGCTACCATTCAAGCAGGTTATACATGGAATAGCAAGCGCATGAATGAAATCCTGAAAGTTTTGTACTGGATGTTTTTTGAGCATGCATTGTCCATTTGCAGAGCTATTCTGTCTTTAAGCTCCTCATGTCATCCCGGCACTTCTTCAGTTTTGTGAGAAGTCAGGATCAAGTGTATCTATAGATCTACCATCTTCTGCATCATATCGTCTTCTCTGTGATCCACCCCATCAGGTACTGCTCGTATCCAGCATTGCCACTACAATTCAGTCTGGCTTTCCTCATTTCCTTCCCACCCCCAAACCCTCCATTCAGTCCACACCCTCTCCTTAACCCAGATTTTTCCTGACTCTTTTGACGTTCTAGTCAGCTTGATCTCGTCGATATTTCATCCTTGACTTGACAAACTGTTGCGATTCTTGTTACCCCTCGTCCTCCCTTTCCCTCTTCCATCTCATCCCGCTCCTGCATCTTCACCATTCAGCTTTGGAGCATCCTCCATGGCATCTAACTCCTCCCTCCTACCTCACTCCCCCTTTCCTCGCTCCCCTGCCCCCATCGCTCATCCCTACGACCCCCTCGTCCGGCTCCATTCCATCTATTCGTCGCATCGCGAAACAAGCACCACCCCACCACCCACGGAAGGGCTACCCCTCTTCTCCATACCCCTATCACAAGAAACTCACATGACACCCTACCATATTGAAATGACCAATTTTCCTGTATATTAGAGGGGTATTTTGGACTTACCACCCACACCCATGGAAGGTTTGTACCCCCACTATTCCAATGGACAGCTGAGATGAGGATCGAACAAAAAAAACAGTAAGAATATAGCCCCACCCCACCCCTGCTCTGCCAAACCCACCCTGTCGAGATCCCCATTCAATGAATGAGGTACCCCTCCCAATATACGTATCAGTACCCCACATTTAACTAATTGAAGGAGATATTGTAAGTACCCCACCCCCTATTCCACCTTAACTCCCATCAACTACCCCTATCGAGTACATCGGAACTGTTCCCCCCCTGATCGTAGGCTGCATGGGCTCTGGGCGCCATGCGGCTCCTCTGAAGCGCACAAATTCCCCCGACGTCAGCGTCGTGCCGAGCTTCCTCCCTCCCTCCTGCCCCGTCATCATCTTCATCCCCTCCCACTTCTCTTCCTCTGGCTTCTCCCTGGCTCTCCTTCTCTTCTCCCCTTCTCTTTCCATACGCCCTCTGCCTTTAGGCTGACTGGTCAGTCTAATCCATGCTGCCCTAGACTCGATCCTCACTTCTCGCAGCGTTTTCTTTACAAGTCTTCAAACAACACACAATATCGTGAGGCGAGGCGTCAAGCAAGCTCGCCATGCGCATCATGCCCCTCGCCAGGGAGATCGGGAGGAGAATTCCCTGTCTGCCCGTTGTGCGTTCGGACATACTTAAATCGAGCAGATCAAACATCATCCTCTCACATCGCTGGTCTGGCTATGCACAACATCGTCTGTGGGATCATATCCATCCCGCAAGCTTACAATCGCGTCTGCCATCCTGCAATCTCAACAGTTCTAGACGGGCTGAGGTGAAGAAATCCGCATCCCCTGCTTGCACCTCACTCTAAGTTTGTGTCTGACGTGGAACGTGATTGTAGGATCAAGAACATGAATGGTGGAGGAAAATATCCTTCTCATCCATGCACTGGCCTTCGAAAATGACCTGGGTTGGAATAGCAGCTGGTGGAGGGGCGATCTTCACCTTCACGTAATGTGTTCTGCATGTTGATGTGTCAGTGTACGTTGTCACAGTGGGATGGAGTTTCCTTGGACTATTTGAATGCTTGCTGAATACGATAGATGGAAAGTTGACCTCTATCTGATTGAAACAAGTGATTTTACTTGTGAGTGTGTATCAAGTACCGATATTGCTAGCTGTTGTTGTTGGAATGCGTGTTTGTGTTGAGTTGCCTTTTTCCATCATTGTTTTTCAAATGCTGAATTGATTTCTATCAGTTGGAATAATTTGAGTGATCCTCAAACACGCTTGGCATACTGTGAAAGCTGGAATCTTGGTGGGAAGCTAAAGAAGAATGGTTGGATTTTGTCGCTGGTTGTTCCCTATTTCTAACGATTCTGTTTCCCCAGGCACGTACGACAAGAAAGATGTAATGTTCTTTAATGCTGCTACTCAAGCTGTTGGCATTGAACGTTGATGGGGCAGGAAGGACCATTGGCGGAGGATCACAGGAATATTAACGATTACTATGAAGTTTTAGAGGTATATCAAAATGTTCATGTATCATAGTACAACGTGACACTTCTTATCAAACAGGTGTTAGGAAGTGGTGTTCATGCTGTTGTTAAGAAGGCAAGGAACAAGCAAACCAAGGAGCTCGTGGCTGTGAAGTGTGTAGATAAGGTTGGAGCATCTGAAGGCTGAAGAGGGAGAGAAGTAAATTTTGATTGCCGCAGGCAAACATGCGACGTCGTCAATTGGCTAGAGAGATTGAGATCCTGACCACGGTCATTGCCTTGCTGTTTGGTCCATCACTCACCTATCCTTCAGGTTTCTCACCCGAACGTCATCTCATTGAAGGTACGCAACGTGCAGGGCTGCTGCATGAAAGATGATTCCTCCTGCGCAGGATGTCTTTGAAGACGAGAAGTCTGTGTATTTAGTACTCGAGTTGGTGCAGGTATGCCGATGTGAATCCTGCTGAATTGCAGTTGTGACTCCTTGCAAGGGTGGAGAATTGTTTGATAGAATTGTAAATGACGGGGCTTTTAGTGAGAAGGACGCTGCTAAGATGTAAGTGGTTTCAACAGGGAATTTGATTCGAATTTGGTCTCATGTGTATCATTTCGGCAGGATAAGAAAGATTACGGATGCTTTGATGCATTTACACGAGTGATACTTGTCTTCGAGCCATCTCCGTGTTGTTGATGGTCATGCAGACGCAAAATTTGCCATCGAGATCTGAAACCAGAAAATCTCCTTCTTACCTCCAAAGGATCAGAAGCAGACATTAAGATTGCTGATTTTGGCTTGTCTAAGGTAGTGCAAGAGCAGTGGTTCGGATCTCCTTGTGAATGGTGTCTGACAGATTCTGGGCGAGAAGACGATGATGAAGAGATCTTGTGGTACATGGGCATACTGGGCACCTGTAATATTACTTGCTTTATCTCCTCCGCGCATGCACCTGTAATCTTGGTTTCCCGACACAGGAAATATTACGAAGGCAGCCCTACGACTACTCGGTCGACCTCTGGTCGATGGGAGGTAGAAGATGGGATTGTTTGTCGTCGACGTGCTCACCGTGGCCTCTCAGTCATCCTCTACATCATGCTCTCTGGAGTTCATCCCTTCGACCCAGATGGAAGATCGACGGACGCCCAGATCGTGAGCTCACTGCGAGCAGGCCCCGGTCCTCGTGATTGAAAGTGGTGAAGGTGGAGAGGATTCTACGGGCCGACTACAAGTTCGATCCTGAGTACTGGGCGCACGTATCGCCGCAAGCCAAGGATGTTATTCGCCATTTGATCCACATGGACCCGATGCAGGTGCGTCGTTCGATGCTTGCCCTGACGACAGAAGAGTTTGACATGTTCATCAGCGATACACTTGCGAGCAGCTCTTACAGCATCCTTGGGTAGCTGGTATTCTATCGAACGCCCTGAAGCTCTATGTCAATTCTTTTGTTGTCGAACAGGCAACGGGGTGTCCGACAGCCCGATGCCCAGTCAGTCACTAGATGCGCTGCGAGGTTTCAATCGCCAGGCAAGACTTTTCTGCGCATCACCAAATTTCTTCTCTAAATTTCGAAATTACAGAGAAAACAATTCGGTCAGGGTCTTGTGGGGATCGTGGCCAGCCAGCATTACCTGCGGAAAGTGAATCGGGTCTTGTCCTATTGTTTACGAGAGAACGATAGCTGACGGTTCTTTGGGAATGAAGACACAACTGCTGGAGAGTGAAATTCAGGTATTCGATTTCCACATGTTCTCGATCGAGGATTGAAGGGTCTTCTCACTTTCATCTACGAACAGGACATGCGGGCAGTCTTCACGCAATTTTCAGCAGACTCGAAGGAGGAGGTGAAAGGTTTCTGTCGAGCTAGCTGGATCTCTGACTTGGTCGAAGCTGGAAGAGTGTGAGAGGGAGACCGAAGGACACTGTTCCTTGCCCGTGATGAAGCTGGGAGAGACAATGAGAGCGCTGGTTTCCCTTGGCTTCTACTGCACGCTGCTGTCTTGATTGACTGGTCCTTGTGAAGGGTGAGAATGTCAGCGACAGAGAAGCGATGAGAATGGCCTTGAGCTCAAACTGCATAGACAATCATGTATGATCTTTGAACCCTTATATTTCCTCCCTCACCCTCTTTACCCTCTTCCCCCCCTTCACCCTTCTTTCTGCTTTTCTTCCTCTTCCTCCTCACCGTCTCCATGCCTCCTCCTCCTCACGCCTTGTCACAGGGGAGAGTTCCTTTCAGCTCCTTCGTGGCGCTCATGGCACATTACGTGGAGGGGAGGTGAGGCGCTGGGAGGATCTCCCGTCCGATGGCTGATGCCTCCTCCAGAGAGACGGAAGAAGATCTTCGAGCAGCGTTTGCCTACCTCGACACCGGCAAGAAGGGAGCCGTCTCGGTACGTGGCTGTGAGGAGGACGAGGACGAGGAGAAGTGGCTGGGGTGTAAGGCGAGGAAGAGATAGGAAGGCAAGGGTAGTCGCGGCATTTGTGTTGGGAGACGAGGAGGAGACTGAGGATGCGAGCAGGTTCTGGACATTCAACGAGCTCTTGCGCTGGTGGGAGTGCGGATGACCGAGGGTCAAGTGCTAGAGCTGGTGACTGGAAGTGACCCGCCCGTTCCTGTCTCATGGCCGGTGCAGGTGCGGGAGGTGGACACGAACAACTCAGGGAAGATCTCGTTCGAGCAGTTCCAGCAGCTGTTCCGAAGCGTCGGAGGGTCATCTGTGAGGACGGAATAGCAGACGCTGCTTGTCTCTTATTGTTTGCTTCGTTAATATAAAATCGCGTCCTTGTCAACAGGGATGTGGAGGCTCTGGTGTATGTACAGACGTTGGCAAGGGCACGGCAATGGACGCGAAATCATCCGATCCTGCTCGTGTAGGTATCGAAGAGGTAGCCGCTCTCCGTGGTGGCGGACGGGACGAACTTCCTGCGTTGGGCGAGGGTGAGAACGAGGAAGAGGAGGGGAGAGGAAGAGGAAGGTGCGATGCGAGGAATAGCGATGTACCTTGGCAGGCCCTCGAGGGGACGAGATATCCTGTAGAATCCTTCAGCGTTGGTCTTGCCGTTGGCGCTTTCGACTTCTGCTCCCTGGAATTGATGTCAGAGCGAGGGCAGATGGAGGAGAAAACGATCAGTGGGAGACGGGAGGGGAGGGGATCTTGGAGGAAGAGGACAGGCGGGTAGGGGAAAGGAGAGGTTGGGGAGCAGGAGCAAGGACTCAGAGAGGAGCAGGGAGGGGGAAGGAGGAAGTAGAAGTTACAGGCGTGAAGAAGGTGAGCATCTCGGAAGAGACAGAGAAGTCCTTCTGGTATCTCCCGCGTGTGGGGTGGAACATCTTCATGTTCGATCGCCGTTCCTTCGTCTTCTCCAGCGTCTCAGGGGCTGCGACCTGAAGTACTTGCGAGTGAGGCGATGGGATGCGAGCGGGGGGGGGGGAGGGAGAGATCAGGGCGCTGGAAGCTCAAAGGATACTGTCGAGAAGAATATGTGGATCAAAGCAGGAATCTTGGAGAAAGGAAGAAGAAACAAGGGAAGGGAGGAGAGAAATGATGCGGAGGAGACTGGAGGAAGAGGGAAGGAGAAACAAGGAGGAGGCTGTCATCGCTGTAGACCTGATAATTGAAGTCCTCTGTTGTCGTCCCTAGCCGTCCTGTGGGGATCTTTTCGTCAGAAAAGCTGCGACGTCACAAGAGCCTCTCTCAGAGAGAGCCAAGGGGAAGGGAGAGAGGGGAACGAGGAGGCAAGGAAGAGAGGGAGGAAAGGAGAGACGATTGTAGGCAGAGGGATGGACGCGGAGGGCAGGACCTTCAAGGGCGAACTTGGGGGCTGACTTGGCGTTGTTGGGGTTCTGCGCCTGGAAGCCGAGGTATCCAGGTATGTGATGGGAGAAGTTGTGGAGGACAAAGAGCCCGAACTTCTTCGACTGGGTTTGAAGGTGGTCCTTAGACTGCAAGCAAGTTGAGGAGGAACCCAGCGTGCTCAAGAGGAGAGCCTACATGCTCTAGAGCTCGCTCGGTCCTGCTTGACCCGTGCACGTTCTCCGGCAGGAATCCTTGATAGCCTGGAGTTCTTCCTGGTAATTGGCACAGCTGCGGTCAGCTGAGAGGGAGGTGGAAAAGCTGGCAAGCACCATGGAAGTACTTGGAGCTGGTGGCAAAGAGCTCTTTGGTGTCGGCGTTCTCGGTGATCTGCCAGGCATGTGAGGGGCCGCACGAACTCCATCTGCCTCTGATCACCTGGACGGGATCACGCAGAGCTCGCATGTCTCTCAGCTTCCCGGGTCTGCGGGCTGTGTGAGGAGGGAGGAGAAGTTGGTCGTAACGCCGTTACCTGTTCGCCAGGTTGTACATGGTGTTGTACATGCTGCTGCCCGTCTGCCAACATGGCGACATGAGGCAGCGCGGGAAGAGGAGAAAGAGCAGTGGAAGAAACCTGCGTGAAGGAGATTTGAGGGGCATTGGCGAAATCCGGAGCTCCGCGTCTCTCCGGGTAAACTTTCAACAATCGCTATCAAGGATCGCCCACCGTCAGTTTCGCTCATGGCGTACGCAGGGCGCTCACCTGGCTATACTGGCTGGAAGGCGAGGCAACTGAGCTGTGATCGCCCTGCTTTGCGTTCAAGAGCTGACATGAAAATCTCATCAAGAGTAGTCGCTCAAGCTTCCCTGGCCCATCACCTCATACGCAGCTCCATATGTCGTCACTGCTGCCCTTGACTTGGACTTCCTGTCGCCCAGCATGATCCTCCTCTTAGTCTCTGTAGCGTTCATAGCTGATATCCTCCCCTATCGAACATCATCAGTTGCCATCGCTGTTCCCCTTCCCACCTCCTGCTCTCACCTCCACCACACTGTACCGCATCCTCGCAGCCGGGTCGACGTAGCCTGTCGCATAGCTCGAAGACCCGACGAACTTCTTCGAGGGGATCCGATCTTGAGACGTCTCCTCCTCATTCAGCATCCGCACCCCTCCGTCTTCGTAGAAACTTTCCGACGGCTCCAGACCCCCACGGCGGTGCGTTCGGATCATGTCCTCCTCCCTGAACTTCTCTGCAGCAGCTCGTCAACCGGACACCCCAACCCGTAGGGAGCTCAGCACCTCCATACTCGGTATCTGCTGGAGGCTTGAGAGGCATGCCCTCCGGATACCCCCTAGCAGGGCTCCTGTCTCTCAGTGCCTCTGGAGGCTCTTCGTTGGGTCCGCCCTGAGCTGAGATGTCAAGTGGAGAGGAGCAGAGAGCTGGGGGATGAAACGACCTTGGTAGGGATGGGAACTGCTTCGTTGCTGGGAATGTAGCCAGAGTATCCTGAGACAGCGAAGCCTGTCCTGAAAGAAAGCAGAGATTGGTTCCCTGCGCTTCGATAGCCCGTCATCTGTAAGGAGACGTGAGTAGGGATCAGGAGAGCAGCTTGCAGAGAGGCGTTCTGATCGTCAGATTGTTCTCGAAAGCTCAATTCACGTTGAAATCATGTTGCAAATGCATTCTTTCACTGATGAGAGGCTCCAGCCCAACTCATGTCATCTCACTTCGTGCTCCTCCACCCTCAACTAGGCACTCAAACCATCCTCCAAGCTTGTCTCTCAAGCCTCTCTAACGGCCCATCCTCTTCTCGCTCGTCGTCAACGTCATCCTTTTCCTTGTCTTCGTCCTCGTCCCCTCCCTCATCTTCATTCTCCTCCCTTGAGAGTCTCCTCCCTCTCTCCCTCTATCGGCTGACTCATGAACGATGATCGGGCGGCTGCCATGACAGGCCAGCCAACGGTCGTCTGACCGTTACACTTGACTCAACGCCTCAGGTCAACGCTGATCATATCGGACCGTGCTCTGGCAGTGAAGACTCTGATGTGTGAAACCGGGCGGCCGTTGAACCGGGTCAGTGATCGGACTGCCCGGGGCCGGGGAGGGCCGGCCCTGAGTCGGAGTTCGGCAGTGTCACTGAGCGGCGGCTGCCAGGACGCTACCGCCACGTCGCGGCACGGTGCGCCGCGCCGCACTGGGTCTGGCCCGGCCCGGCGGGGGCGGCGGCCGGGTGACCGTGCCACGCCGGGCCGGTCAAGGTGGCAGGCTCCGCGGGTCCCAGCGGCACTGCCCCGCACCGTGACTGGCGAATTGAAATTTGCCATTTGCTTGCCTGACCCTGCGTAGAGGAGAGGCTTGACCCAGCCCTGAGCCTGGCAGTGGGGCCATTCCGGCGAGCCCTGAAGAGAAAAGACTGAGCCCGGCTGTCCTGAGTCCGATCCCTAAGGACTTGTGACTCTTTTACTTGGCAAGTTTGCCAGAGTTTGAGACTCATCACAGCCTGTGCAGCCTGTACTGAGCGTCCGACTCAGAAGGCTGGGGCTACAGTTGAGCCAAGTCAGTGAGTCGAAGTTGGGCCCCTTGGCCTTCCAGAATACTCATGAAACCTTTTATTGATACTATGATAGAGTATACTCCAAGTTCAACAAAGACTCGGACGGAGGATGCTCGATCATAAGGGCCAGCCCGACAATGATTACACAGTGTTGCTTCCAAATGTTGTTTCCAACAAATCGGCACTGACAGTGTTGTTCCTTAAAATCGATGTGAGGCTCTCAGCGCCGCACATTGGTTGCACGGGTTCTGAACTGACTTCAGTACCGAGTCATCAAGTTGTTGAGAGTTTGTCGGGTCAAGTCTTCGTCGCTCTGCAGACTTTGACTTTCGATCTCCTCAGTGATGGTCTCCCACATCGCGTGCGAAGCTTCGGAGAATTGTTGTAAGTAGAGCTCCTCGTCTTTCTTCCCGCCTCCCTGCAAGCGCTCGAGCTTCCTGATCCATTCGGCAGTCTCGTCCTCGCTCAAGGAGTTGAGCCGCATGATGTCAAGCTCGTCTTCACAAGAATCTTGCGTTGGAGCAGGTGAGAATGTCGACGATGGTGCTGAGTCATGCGATATTGAGATCAGCTCTGAGCTGGAGGGGTCAGTAGTCGTTTGCTGCCGTTGCTTCGTTGACGCGGCTATCGTCTTCTTGCGGCAGACCCGGCGGGGAGTCTTTCTCCAATTGGACGTCAACCTAGCCCACAGCGCATGCCTTGCCCTGCAGCACTGCACGAGAGTCTCGAAGCTGACATCTACTCCCAACTTCAAAGCGCACTGGCGGAGCCTCAGCCAACCTTGACGGAGCTCCTCGAGCTCGTGTGGGTCGTCGGGATTCCTCCAACGCCGGTTGCTGAAGAGATACCGCGCGCTGCAGCTCTTGGCGAAGTCCGTCTGCTTGAGGTCCATGGGGAGCGTGCAGCGGTCCCGGATCTTGTTGAAGCCGTTTCTTTCTAGGATTTTGTTGAACTCTATCTCACTCAGGCCGAAACTCCCCGAGGACTGCAGATCACTCCGAACAGCAGGGGGGATGCATTCCTTGAGCCCCTCGTACATGGAGAGCCGACCCTTGCGAGGGATGAAGAGGTGGTGGAAAGGAGGCACTACTCGGGAGACCTGGAGCAGAGTGCGTCAAGGAGGAGAGAGGAACATGAAGCAGATATGAGGAGGCCTTGGGCCTGCCTGACTTACAGCTTGTGCGAAGCAGACGCCAACGGACTTAGAGTCGTCAGAAGCCGAGGGCCGAACCATCCTGTCAAGAGCTTCAAGATCTCAGAAGCTGGGCTAGGATGCCGCTCGCTCGTTGGTTTCCTTGCCAATGACGGAGGAGATTCTGGGGGGTGGGCCGGGGAAGGAGGAAGGAAGAAGGAGGGAGGTGGGAGGAGGGAGGAGGGAGGTGGGAGGAGGGAGGAGGGAGGAGGGAGGAGGGAGGAGGGAGGGAGTGAGGACGCAGGCTGATGAGGACCAATAGGGCCCGAACTCGAAAACGATATCAACAAGATATCAGCCATCCGAAAAAAAACTTGAGAAGTTTACAAATACTACCGTCGGTTATATTTAAGTAAAGTTTAGTACCTGTGATCGACTACTACTGGTACTGTACTTTTACTTTCGAGGGGTCGCCATACGTCACGCCTTCGTACCCGAAAAAAGAATTTTCCGGCGAAAACTCAGTCAAGACTTCGAGCCCGCTCACGGCCGCTGCCGCACAGGGGCCTGATCGTCGGATTGTCCTCGTACTGATTTTTAACTTAACTTTGAGTAAACTTCTGGTAGACTAGGGGCCCGGAGCCTCCCGGGGGAGTCCGACGTCCGAGCTGAGCCGTCCGACTCTAATCGGAAGTTAGAGTTAAGTTCCGTCACTGTGAACGCCGCCGGTGCGGCGCCCGCGATGATGGGGCGGCGGGGGTTCCTCCCGGCGGGTCCGAGTGGGATCCAATCAGGCTCAGTTTTGTCTTGTCACCGTGCCAGAGTCCAGGCGCCCGGGCCTGCTTCCGAAGTTCCGAGTTCCGAGTTCCGAAGTTCTCCGGCGCCGGGACCTCCGCCGGCGGCGGCGGCGCGGGGCTCTCAGTAAACTCCGACCTCCTCTTACTACCGTCACTGAGTACTTGAATTTTTCGTCACTGAGGCAGATTTGCCACGGTAGGTATCCACTTCGGAAACTCAGTAGTATTGAGTATATTCATAGGAGGGCCGCGCAGCCCGGCCTGTGATTTCCCGACTCCGGCGAGCCGGGGGCCAAATTCCTCTTCAACCTCCCAAGCTGTAGAGACGCGGGGTTCAGCGGCCCTGCCCTTGAATGCCAGATTCCTAAGTTCCGCGGCCCGGCCGGGCGGCCGGTTATACCGTATACTACTGGCGGCCGCCACCGGCGGCCGCCACCGTACCGTAGTACCGGGTGGCGGCCGCCCTCGGCGGCGCGGCCCGCCGCCCCCCGCCGCCGCCCCCCGGCCCCGGTACGGTACCGGGCGGCCCCCGGCGGCCCGCGGCCTTCCCGGAGTCCGAGTCACTGCTCCAGTAGTCACTGAGTACAGCGATCGGACCGTGACCGTACGCCGGGTGCCTCCTCGTCTTTCCGATTCTTTACTCGGCAAAGAAAGACCCTCGTCTCTTCCTGATTGTCCTCGTACTGATCTTTAACTCAACTTTGAGTAAACGGAACAGTACGGTAGAAGTGAGCTAGGAAAATATTCAGTCCGACGGTCATTATGACCGAGGAGAGTGGGGTGGGGTGGGGTGCTCCATGATAACGTCAAAGGGGTGGGTAGACTCTTGCACAACAACAATAAAACCGTCGTTGCAGTAGGTAGGGTAGGTCATCATACGTGGAGGAGGGGGGTAGTGGGGGTAGTGAAAGCGCTTCCCACCAACTTTTGGTTCGAGCGATCATGTCGGAGTGGGAGGGAGGCAGGGGAAGGAAGGGAGGAAGTGAGAAGGAGAAGCGAATGATAAAACAAGGGAGGAGTAAGTAGAAAGGGAGAGGAAAAGTAGGAGATTCATTAGAAAGGGGGAGGAAAAGTAGGAGACTCATTAGAAAGGGGGAGGAAAAGTAGGAGACTCATGGTGTATTCCGAGCCTCTGATTGCTTGAAGTGCAGACCAAATGCCTAGGAAGAATGACAGGTGCGTGGTTGCGCTCTGTGGCCTCGACGTCGATACAGACTCCGATAAAGTCAAAGGTTTTCTTGACTCAAAGTTTTCTGACTTGTACGAATCCTTCGATTCTCCAAAGTTCGACCAAAATGATATTCTGAGACAAAGGAAGCTAGTCTTCATCAATTGCCGCTCCGCTGACGACGCTTCAAAGTTGTGCTTAAAGCTGCATGGCTACCAGTCAAAGGATCTTGGTATCAAGTGTTTCGAGTACAAACTCCAGGCCGTCTCAAAGCGAGAGATCAAGAACCTCGAATGGAAGGAGCAAGAACATAGGGTCTTTGAGGGTACAGTTGCGAGCAAGCTCAAGGGAGAATCATGTACCGTCAAATGCGGAGATGTAGAAGTTGTGGTTCTCAAGGAGACATACTCTGGGAACTGGAACGAGTTAGCCAAGGGATACCTGCTCCGTGTGGAGGCAGTGAAGCAGCCCGACGGAAGCTGGAAAGCACTTGAGACTCAGCTCTTGAAGGTGGTGGCAACAGCGCCTAAGCTGGCAGACGGGAATGACGCAGAAGGACGGTTGCGGATGTTCAGACTGCAGAAGCTACTTCTCTCCACGGCTCCGACGGTCTTGAAGACCTTGTTCAAGCACGTGTGGCAGTCGAAGAATTCGAGGCAATGGTCGGAGCAAGAAGCGAAATCAATGGTGTCCAGACTCCGAAAGAACAAGGAGCTGTACGGTATGTTGAGACCAGATCAAGCTAGAATGATCGAGACTGTCCCTTGGGACGAGTGGAGTTTTGACATCCTGTGCTTTCTCCTGCTTGAGAATGCATTGCTGAGCACCAAGAACCAGGCATACCGGACTCTCTTGGACATCAAGCACGTTCGAGACTCCAACATCTCCTCGGACACGTTGAGCCAGCCCATGACTCGTGAATATTACTCAAACCTGAGACGTCAGATGGCTGACGAGCTCAGCTCGCTCTGCAACAGCATGGTTCAGGTCGACAAAGACACATGTAACGCGATGATTAGAAGCGTAGCGAACTGCAAGTACGACGAGAGGGAAGCCAAGGAGTACATGATTGAGCTTCAACACATCCGATCCCTTAGGGATGGAGAGGAAACGGGGAGCAAGCCAGTAGACAAGGCGGAGGAGATTGCGGAGCCCCAGGTTGAGATCTTGATGAACAACAACAAGAAGTTCGTCCTGCTTGCAAGATCCGTAGGGAAAGGAGCCATGGGGAGCGTCTTCGAGGGAAGAGACCCCAAGAACGGGAACATCGTAGCTCTCAAGAGATGCGACGGCCAAGAAGACAAGCGGGGGAAGGTCGAAGCACAGAACCTCGAGAAGATCAGGAGCAAGAATATCGTTCGCTTCCTCGGGTACGGATATCACGAGTCCCACTTGTACATCGCCATGGATCTGGTAGTAGGCGAGGATTACGAGAGCTTCCTGAACAAGCTGAAAAGCCCTCTCACGTGGATGGAAGCGTCAAAGGACATGAGGCAGGTCATGCAAGGCATGAAAGCGGTCCATAGCCTCGGCATCATTCACCGAGACCTCAAGCCTGCCAACCTCATGCGCAAACAGAACGGCGACATGGTGGTGGTTGACTTCGGCACTTCCAAGCAGGTGAATGCCGTGTCAGCTGCCTGTGCGACCATGGTCGGCGAATTTGTCGGAACTCCGGTCTACGCGAGCCCTGAGCAGCACAAGAGAGCGGCTCTTACAGCAGCCTGCGACGTCTTTTCCATCGGCGTCATCTTCGTTGAGGCTCTCACCAAGAAGCTTCCCTTCCTCGTCAACGGCAACTCTGTCTCTGTGCAAGACTTGTCCGATCCTGTCCTCGTCAGCCGCTATCTATTGGCCTTGTATGATGAACCTCCGGCTCCTCTCAACGACATCCCGGTTTCAATCTCCGACTTCATCACCGCTGGCTGCCTCGAGAAGTCAGCTGAGAAGCGGATAGCCGATGCCGGCGCCATGCTCGAGCGATGGGATGAGGTCTACTCGCAAGCGCTCAACGAGTCGGAGAAGGCGGTGAAGCCAGGGAGCGCGCAGGAACTCTGGATGAAGTGCAAGTTCGAGCAGACGGCCAGCAACGAAACCATGAAGCAAGTCCTCAAAGACAAGTTCCCTTTCCTCAGCCCTGCCGCCCTCGAAGCACTTGAGCAGAAGCTCGACCGGGACGGGAACGGCTGCGTCGACTACGAGGAGTTCCTCTCCTTCTTCAAGGAGGAGCCGGTGGAGGATGCCCTGAAAAAGTTCACCGCGCAGGAGGTGAAGATCCAAGACCCCGAGAGTGTCTTCTACAACAGCAAATTGCTCATGACGGTGAGGTACAAGTCGGACTCCGTCTTCGGGGGACAGAAGGCAGGAACCCTGGTACTTCACAAGGGCAGGTTGACCATCAAGAAGATCGAGGGGTCGAGCAAGGCTGAGTTCACCGTCTCTGAGGTACAGGCGAGGAAATCATCGAGTACTTCAGTGCAGTTTTCAAACGATTGGAAAAGCACTGTCTGCTACTTCCTGACCGAGGCCGACTGCAAACAGTTTCTCACGGCTCTGCAGAAAACAAAGATTGGGAGAAGAGTGAGGAGTGAGGTAGAGCAACAAGTGGCCAAGGGGGAGCTGACGAGTGATATGATATGTGGTAAGTATCTTCAAACATTCGTCTCGGTGATCACTTGATGAATAAACCCTAAAGTAGTCAATGAACCCTCTAAGCAGCTACTGCTTGCTTCGCTTCCACTCCACCAGTCTTCTCAGCCTGCCAGCATGTGAGAAACCCTTCACCACTTCCTCAGCAACTCACAGGAGAGGAAACAGCCTTCTCGTCACGGCGATAGATGGTATGTTGTCCGTAGATCTGAGACAGCCACTCGCTATCAGCATCCTCTTCCATGGCACGCGCGTTGCGTCCTGGGCGGCTCCCCCTGAACTTGGACTTGGGCTGTCGGGAACGAATCAGCCTCTTCCATATCCTCTTCTGGCTCTTGCTCCTCTGTCACCTTGCGGTACTGACGAGCGCAGATCTCGTTACGAAGCCTCTTCTCCTTCTTCAAATTGCGACGGCAGCTCATGTACAAGCTCTGACCAGCAACATATCAGCAACCCCCTCTTGCTCAGGTTCGGCTCATCCTCACCGTTGCGCTATCCCCCTTTGCTTCCTCGACAGCAACAATTGATTGCCTGCACCGCATCGTGACTCTTCAACCAGCAACAAGTGACCGCCCTCACCCCAGCGAACCCACGAAGGACGACTGGATGGAGGAGATAGCAGTGGTACGTGGGATAGATGGGAGAACAGATCCAGCGAACGCGAGAGAAGGAGACTTGGAGTTACAGGGCTGCGAGAAGCGTCAGCGCACCGCCCAGCATTGCGAGGCGAGGTAAGGTTGTGCACGTGCCGAATTGATGACTTTGCCCAGACCTCCGCTACAACACAAGACAACAGCAATACAACTTGCATCACAGATATTCAAATAGACGAGAAATGTGTCTGAAAAACCTTCTCCATTCCTCTTTCCCTCCGAAAACCTATGGAACAACACAACATTCCTACCCATTGCTGTAGCCACATTGCAACGACATGGAGGTCAAAATCGCACAGCGACTACAGAGCATGAAAGGAAGGAGGGGCATGCCAGATGGAAGAAACGATGCAACAGCTATTCGTCCTTTTTCCTACAAGCCAAGACAAAGATACGGTATAAAGACAAAGGGAGGAAGAGTCCGTTGAAAAAACTCAAAATGTGATTCATCCCAACAGCTTCTCTAAGCAGCAGCTCACACATACAACACTTATAGTCATGCCATTCAATGTCGTCCGTAAAGAGCACTTCATGCTACTATCCCTTCCCTCCCACCTTTCACTTTGTTGTATGCACCATTAGCGCCTTTTGGTCCTGGCACAAGGCACAACCTAGCATCGGAAGGCTCAAGAGGCTATTTGACGTATCTCTCAGCTCTTTCAATCTTCACGCTATCTCTACTCCTCCATATCTCCTGTCTTCCTTACCGAGACGGCGGCGGCGGCGGCGGCGGCCGACAGGAGGAGGAATCGCTTCAGCATCGCGGCGGCCTCTGCTCGCGTGCCGGTGGCCTGAAATGAAACAAAAAGAAAGGACCTCCACCCCTATATTTTATTGCAATTTACATGACAGATAGGGGGTAGGGTGTTGAAAAGAGAGTCCAATCTCTCCTCTCTTCTTTTTAAATGCTGTGGCCTCCTCCCCTTCCCGGCCCCCCCACTCCCACACTCCAGGCTTTATGAGGAACTTTTAAATTTAAAACTTGGATCAATCTGTATTTTAAAAAGATCGATGATTTCGTCTTTTAGATGAAATTAACTGTATGAAACATATCGCAATTTTGTTCCTATATAGTTTTATGTTTTAACGGTATAAAGAACTTTGTACCTCTTATTTTACAAGTAGTTTTGAAAATCAGAACTGGTATCAGAGTCAAATTATAAAATATTTTGACTACGAGAAACATGATTTCTAAATGTTTTTATTTTTGTAAGCTATTCAGGGCAGTCGTAACTTATCGTTGTAAATATAAATTCATTTTAAACATTGTTGCCCCCTGGCCGGGAAACCCAACAAAGTCTGATCCTCATCCCCGCTCATCCTGTTTTGCCTGCATCCCCCAGTGCATCCCCACCTTGCTGCCCACCTTGTCCCGCCCTGCTCGATGCAGATTGTGGTGCTCGCTGCTGTGCTCGATGCCGAAAGATGCGAGACCGGATGCCAGGCTCGATTCTCCTAAGCAAGCTCCTATGCTGCCTCCTAAGCAAGCTCCCATGCTGCCTCCTAAGCAAGCTCCCATGCTGCCTCCTAAGCAAGCTCCTAAGCAAGCTCCCATGCTGCCTCCACCCTCTGCTACTGCATCCCAGTCCAGATCCACCCCAGCCTACCCCCAACCTTGTTCCTTTCCATTCCTCCTTCCTCAACCCTTGCTCGGGTTATGCCTCGTATTCTCGTATATCAGGCCTGATGCCAGTTTAAGGCATTCTTGTTCCTGTCTCTGTCCCCTCAACCCCCCTTGCTGTTCGCAACACAGCATGCAGCCTTCAGATGGAGTACAGGAAGCAGAGGGAGAGAAGAGAGAGAGAGAGATTGCTGATTCTGAGACTTCAAGTGAGACCGAAAGCTCTTATGATGACTTGAGTTCCTTAGGGATATGAGGCCTTTGCAGTCTGCTTGTGCCCTTACCATATTCTCATCCCTTATCGTGTGAGCCGTCCATTGCCGACCATGCCCCCCACGCCTCCCCACCACCGCCTCTCCCCCTTCCGCTTCTCTCACCACTCTCCTCTCCTCTTCTCTCTCCCCCCCGCCCCCCCTTTGCCCCCCCCGCTGCGTTTGCCTTTCCCCTGCATGACTTCAATGCCCTCAGAAACTTGTTGGCCATGTCTCAAGGTGCGGGTCAAGCAGCGACCGTGTCGCTCAGAAACTCTGTTGGCTCCAAGTTGGAAGTTGCGAAGCACGGGGCACACGTACTCACATGGTCCCCTGGTAGGAACTTTCCCAAGTGTGGCCTGATATGCATCCCGCCTCAAAATTTATGCCTTGTCTTGCTATCTTTTGGACGTCTCGATATTGTTTGCCTTGTCTTAATATCTTCTTCCTGTGCATGAATATCTGCCCTTGATGTTGTTTTGACTTGGGCGCCTTTTGTCCTCCGTGCGAGCTTGCCTGAGCTCCTGTCGCAGGTGTCAACGAAGAGTCTGTGCTATTTGTCAGCCCTGCAGCAAAGTTCGGCCCGCAGGATGCGATCCGTGGAGGGATTCCCATCTGCTTCCCTCAGTGCGACATTGTGATGTTCCTGTGACTGGAAGTCTTGACGTTTTCGTCCTCCAGGTTTGGTCCGAGAGGAGCCCTCGAGCAGGTAACTTGAGTCCCATCTGCGTGCTCTCCTACCGGTCGGCTTCTACTTGCCGTGTCTTCTGACTTAGTCTTGTTTGCGTGCGGTAGCACGGGTTTTGCCGCAAGAACAACGACTGGGCGATCGCCAAGTGCGATGTCGGTTGATGGGGGGAGAAGGATTGACGGCATCTGACAGGCAAGACGAGAAATCCGTTGAGTTTGAACTCAAGGACTCGGAAAGCACTCGGGCTTCTGCCTGGCCTCACACGTTCCAAGTCAACTATCTGGTATGACCGTGATGGAGATGCGTAAGAGTCGTAAGCAGGACGAGGAAGAAGAGATGGTAGAGGAGAGGAGGAGGAGCTAGCGGTGGTAGCAATAGGGAAGGAGGAGGAGCAGGAGCAGGAGTAGGAGCAGGAGCAGGAGCGGGAGCGGGAGCAGGAGCAGGAGGAGCAGGAGCAGGAGTAGGAGCAGGAGCAGGCTGTGGTTGCGATGTAATCTGTAGAGAAAGATGGTGGATTCTGGCAAACAAATGACATCTTTGTAGGTCGAGTTGACAGACGAAGGAAATCTTGCAACGAAGATGAAAGTGAAGAACACTGGCAGTGAACAATTCACCTTTACCTGTGCTCTTCACACTTATTTTGGTAAGGGGAGGGAGAGGGGGAGGAGGGAGAGGGGGAGGAGGGAGAGGGGAGCGGGAGGCGGAGGGGAGGGGAGGAAAGAGTTCGGGGCCTGTCTGAATGCTTTCTCGCTGACAGGTGTGGGCGACATTTCAAGCACGAGCGTTGAGGGCCTAAGAGGATGCGAGTACGAGGATAGCCTGCAGGGAGGGAAAGTGTTACAAGGTAACGATGCTGCTGCGACTGGCCGATGGTGACTGAGATTTGTCGATGGACGCAACAGAACAAGAGGACGCCATCCGGTTCGAAGGGGAGGTCGACCGCGTGTACGGGCCAACCCCTCAAGGTGACGAGAGTGGAGAGGACGGCGAGGGGACAGCGGGTGGGATTATGCGACAGTCTTGAAGACTCCACCGCCATGGCGGGCGTGATACACGGGCCGGGCCATGACAGGATAAGGAGGAGGAGGAGGAAGTTGGGGGGGTGGAGGTTAGTAGGGGAGAGGAGGGAAGCGAGGAAAAGAGGAGAGGAGAACACAAGGAGGGAAGACGTAGTCAGAGTGTGGAGAGAAAGCAGCGACGCTGATGTTGGCGGCAGAGATCGAGATCAAGGATCAGTCGCACAAGAGGAGGATCTGCATCTTCAAGTCCTCCAGTTTCCCCGATGCTGTGAGCGAGGACCTGCCATGAGGTCCCTGCCTGACCTCTGGGTGAAGGTGGTGTGGAATCCCTGGATCGAGAAGTCGCAGAAGATGGCCGATCTACCTGACGACGCTTACAAGGTAAGATAAGGGCGAAGGTGGGAGGGAGGGAGGGAGGGAGGGAGGGAGGGAGGGAGAAGGGGAGGGAGGGAGGGAGAATGAGGGAGAATAGGATTCTGTTCAGGGAGCTTGACAGGAGAGAACGATCGCGTTCTGATGTGTTCTCAACCTGACCTGTTTTGCACTTCGAAAGAGGTTTGTCTGTGTTGAAGTCGGAGCCATCCGTCAGCCTGTTAGCCTGCAACCGCAACAAGAGTGGGAGGTAGGCGAAGATTGCGAGGACGACGATGAGAGCTGATGGGTTGAATCAGGCATCCCAGGCCATCAGCGTCAAGTCATGAGACGGTCGACTGGAGGCTGAAGGAGTCGACCATGGCACCATCGATTCCTCGATTCCCTTGATAGCATTCTATTCGCAACCTCAATATTCTTTCTTGTATCTTCTCGATTTTCATCGTCGTCTCATGGAATTCCGAGATGAGCGTTACAATTGACAACTGAAGTTGTCCTCCCTCCCTCCCTCCCTCCCTCCCTCCCTCCCTCCCTCCCTCCCTCCTCCTCCTCCCGCTTGTCTTTCTCTTCCTACTCTTACGCCAAACAGTCCCAGTCCCCTTGGTCGAACATCCTGCAGCCGCATTCTCAGGTCCTCCTCCTCCTCCTCCTCATGACTCACCTCCTCAGCTGTGAAGTCCAGTCCTCTCCCTCCCTGAAGGTTCCCCGCCTGCACAAGCTCAGCATGGGAGTGCGGCGAGAGCGTGGGGGAGCAGAGGGCAGGCAAGCAGAGCAGCTGCGAGAGAGCGAATTTCACCTCCTCTCCTTCTTGTTCATGAGCTTCTTGACGCTCTCCGGTCGCACTCTCTCTTCGTTCTCCTCCACCCATTTCTTTCCCAACGCCTGCACAAATCCCCCTCAGAGCCTCTTCCTCCTCCCTGGGCTACCGCTTCTCTTCCTCCCCGCCTCCTCCCTCTCACCCACATCAAGTCCGACCGTCTCCATCCCCCTCTCTCCCTTCCTCCTCGTCCTACCTCAGTGATAGCGTCTTCGAACTTGCAAGGGTGAGCAGTTGCCAGCAGCACAACATTTCCGTCCTTACAGGCCCTGAAATGGCAGAGTCACCCTCCTGGCGCTCTCCACAACAGGACGCTCCTCCTGATTGCTGCGTAGCCCACGGCTGTGTGCGGGTCCATCAAGTAGTCTTCCTCGAGCATGCAGCTCCGCTGCGCCTGTGCTATGGTCTCAGGTACTCCATAGACGAGGAGGGGGAGACAGGGCGGGAGGAAGGAAAGGAAAGGAAAGGAAAGGAAACGGAGGGGTTTGGCGAGGAGAGGGAGGCGGAGGGTGAGAGGGCAAGAGAAGAGCGAAGAGAGGGGAGAGGGGAGAGATTTGCTGGTCTTGAAGAAGAATAACAGACGAGGAGGAAGGAGGAGGAAAGAAAGGACAGAGGCTACATGCCTCGAGCATCTCCTCGTCGGTGACTCGTTGAGAAGCAAAATTTTCCTGAACGACAACTCTCAGAGCAAGGGAGAGGAGATCTCTCAGAGAACTCTCAGAGGAGGACGAGGACGAGGACGAGGACGAGGACGAGAAGGGTTGACCTGTAGAGATTGCAGAAGCTCACCCTCGACCTGAATTCTTCCTACAAACATCAACTTGGTCAACACTGGTGGCCGCCCACCTCAACACAAACAACACGCGCGAGAAAGAAGGACGCATATGAACGAGGCCATATTGTCACATCACGTCATGTCGTCAGACCTGTTTCCGACATTCGACCCATCAGATCCTTGACCAGCTTGTGATCGCCGCCGCTGAGGAAGTATATGATCCTCTCGAAGTTGTAAGGGACCTGCGTCCCTCAGTCAGAATGCAGAACAAGCAAACAAGCGATTGAACGACAGAGGAGGAGCAGACAGACCATGCAGTACAAAACAAGTTCGCCGTCATTCCGACCTGTATGTTGATTGCTTCCGACAGAGTCCGTATCATCTTGTCGTGCCTCGAAAAGTCGCCGCTGCTGATGGCGCGGTGGAAGATATCGTTCATGTTGGTCCCGCACACGATCCTCCTGATCGGCAGGCCCATCTTCTTGGCAAGCAAGCCTGAGAGGAGACTCATGGAGGCCAACACGTCCGAGCGGTCAGAGCACATTCGGAAGAGGCGGAGAGTGAGGGTGGAAAGGAGAGGAGAAGGCGGAGAGTGAGGATGCGAGAAGAGGAGGAGGCGGAGGCAAGCAAGCAGACGTCTTTTGAAGGGAACGAGTCAAATCAACTGTTCGCTGACCTGCTGCAGCATTTCCCAGAGCCCCGCACGGCAGCGCAAAGTCCACAGAGCTGCCAACGGGCAACTTCAACTTCTCAACAGCGCGGAAATAGCTCCAGAAATAGTGCACACTCTGAACAAAGGATGTGAGAAGGAAGTGAAGGCGCGCAGAGACGTTGGAGGCGTTCAAGGAAGCAGGAGAAAGTCCATTACCTGCATGATCACTCGTCCTATGTTGATCGAGTTCACAGCCGCCAGGCCATGGCGCTCCTGGAACGACACGTCGGTGGAAAGAGTTTTAATGGGTGCGTCCATATCATCCCCGCCTCCTTGAAAGCTGTACACAAACACGTTGTTTGCGTCCTCTGTTGTCATCTGAAGCTCCTGGAACTTGGAGATCTGTCCGTGCGGGTATGTTACCACCACTTTCAGCGCCTCCAGTCCCCTTGCTGCCATGATCGCTGCAGGCCCTGTATCTCCGGTGGTTGAGACCAAAATGGAGATCTTGTTCTTCTTCTTCTGAGCGAACATGTTCAACAGCTTGCATAGAACTTGCTGCCCAAAGTCCTTGAAGGACATTGACTGCAAACAAAAGCCTTCCAATCAACAAACAGCGCATGAAAGCAGTGCACGGTGCATAGTACCGGTCCATGGAACAGCTCTGCGACCAGGACACTTCCATCTTCCGGCGCCCCTCTCCCACTCAGCATGGTCAGAGGAATGATCTCTTCGCTGGAGAACCCCTCAAAGCAGGATTGTACGACCCCCCTCACCTCCTCCTCCGAAAGCTCCTCGCTTGCGAACCAGAGTAGGATCTCAGTGCAGAGCTCTCTGAACTGGAGCCTGGAGAGCCTCTCCAGCTCTCCCTCCTCGAGCTCCCTGATGGTCTTGGGCACGTACAGGCCTCCATCGCGAGCATAGCCTCTCCTCAGCGCCTCCTCGATCCCTTCCTCCTCCCCGCCCCCTCTAGTGCTCACATACCTCATTGCCAAGACAAACAATTCTCATCCCCCTCATTCTCGCCGGGCGGCCCGGGCCGCCCCTGGGGCCGGGCCGCCGCGCGCCCGGCGCGTGCGGCTGGCCGCCGGGCAGGGGAGGCCCGGCGCCACTGAGCCGCCGGGGAGGCGGCGCCACTGGGGGAGGCCCGCCGTCGGACGGACAGACCGGGCAACTTCTTTACTCAAAGTTAAGTTAAAAATCAGTACGAGGACAATAATTAGAACCAAACCCAATCCTGCCGACAGCTGTCCCCCAAACTTAACTGATACCTTCACTTAACGGCGCGCGCAGGACAAGTTCCCCGCGCGGCCATGCCAGCGATGTCGCGGTGGCCGCCGCCGAAGGAATGAGACGCATACCGGGATGCACCCGCGATGATGGCAGCGCTGAGGACAGGGAGGCCTTGAGCTGACGAAAGATCCTGGACCGGATGCGTTGGGGATTCGGCCGAGAGTCCGGCCGGCGGCCCGCCGGCCGGGCTGCGGCGGTTGCCGGCCGGGTGCCATCGCCACGGTGGCCGTGTGACAGAACTTGGAATGATGATTCCGGGAGCTGAGAGTCAAAGGTTGGCCCGTATTCACTCAGGGACTCATCCCCCTCATTTCTTTGCGACCCACCTTGCGGCCATGCGACGCGCTGCGATCCTTTGCGTGGAGGATGCGAAGCAGATGGCGCGGCGGAGAGTGCCGAAGGCGTTCTACGACTACGTGGACACGGGGTCATGGACAGAATCCACGTACAGGTCCAACGAGGAAGAGTTCAACAAGATTAAGTTCCGACAGAGAGTGCTGATAGACGTGTCCACAAGGTCGACCAAGGCAAGGGTGCTCGGAGAGGAGTGTGCCATGCCTGTGGCTCTTTCGCCCTGTGGTTTTGGTGGAATGATGTGGCCCAACGGTGAGACGCATGCGGCCCGAGCTTGCGAGAAGTTCGGCATCCCTTTCGCTTTATCCACCATGTCGATCAACTCAATTGAAGATGTGGCGGCAGGAACTACCAAACCTTTCTGGTTCCAGCTCTACGTGATGCGAGACAAAGGATTCGTGAAGAATCTGATAAGCAGAGCAAAGGCAGCTAAGTGCTCTGCCCTCATCCTCACCGCTGATCTTCAAGTGCTGGGACAGCGGCACAAGGACATCAGGAATGGCTTGACCTTGCCGCTAAGGTTGGAGCTACAATCTGTGCTCGACGTCGTCAGCAAACCTGCATGGTGTATCCGGCAGCTCTCTTCCAAGCGATGGAACTTCGGGAACATCGTCGGTCATTATCCCGGAGCTGATTCCGTGCTCTCACTCTCGCATTTCACCTCCAGTCAGTTTGACACGGCGCTGTCATGGAAGGACGTGGAATGGATCAAGTCTCACTGGGGAGGAAAGCTCATCATTAAAGGCATCATGGACCCGCAGGACGCCAAGTTAGCCTACCTTCATGGAGCAGATGCTATCGTGGTGAGCTTGAATCCAGTGATCTCATGTGCGATCACTTTCTTTTGACTGTCCACAAGGTTTCAAACCATGGTGGAAGGCAGTTGGATGGTGCCCCGCCGTCCCTAGCTGCCCTCACAAAATGCGTAGAGGAAGTGGGAGGGAAGATGGAGGTCAGGAACAAGAGTCGTTGTCCCAGGGTCCATCCTCTCTGAGATAGCCATCGCTGCTTCAGGTGTATCTTGATGGTGGGGTTCGATCTGGACAAGATGTGCTCAAGGCGAAGGCTCTAGGCATGTTTCTCACTCTCAACCTCGCTTTTCTCTTCTCTTTCCTTGTCGCTCTTCCCGTCCCCACGTTCTCCCACCTACCTGAGAGTGGGATGAAGCCCCCTATGCTGTCTTATCACATACCTCAGGAGCGAATTGCGCTATGATTGGACGCCCATGGTTGTATGGATTGGGTACTTTGCCTTTCGTCTTAGTGCCTTCCTTCACTGACGTCGCACAGCCTGTGGCGGCGAAGAGGGCGTCACTAACATCCTTGAGATCGTCCGAAAGGTTGGTTCAAGTGTACATGTACGTATTCTTGCAAACTTTCTGGCAGGAATTGGACATCACGTTGGGCTTCTGTGGCATTACTGATATCAATGATGTGAAAGGCCGAGGGATTCTGTTATCGAGCGAAGAAGTGAGTGCAAGATTATTTCTCTTCGATGGTCCTCACGAAACGAGCAGAGTTGTGTCCTTAAGCAAGAGGCTTGTGACCATAGACATGGAATCTCAAAGGGATAGTTGACCAGGTTCAGAAAAACACCTGACCGTTCCAATGCATGGCATTCCCTCCAATCTTGTTTTGTACGATCAATAGAAAAGTCAAGTCGAGAATCAACAAACTCTAATGTCGTGCCGTGTTGATTACTTTACTAAAGAAGTCCTTCACATCGTTTATGCAACAAGCTCCTCAGAAGAAAGGGCGTTGAGATCTAATCCAGCAACAAGCTCTGACGCAGCCTGTGCATATCAAGTTAGGGCACACCTACAACGTTCAAATCGTGTCAACCTGGTCGCGGGCCTGCTGCTCGGCCTGGAGACGTTCGTGGTATCTCTTAGCAGTCTCCTCAGCATTCTCTTTCACCATCTCAGGGTTCCTGATCTGTTAACGGGTCAACAAAGGACTTCTCCCACTTCGAGCGATTCGCGCACCATGTCCCCTGGTTCAGCCTCCAGCGTCTTGGTGGACAAGGAGAAGCGACCCTTGTCCTTGTCTTGGGTGAGGATCATGGCCTTGATCTCCTGGCCTTCCTGGAGAACCTTGCTAACATCGGAAATGTGATCGTGAGAGATTTGGGAGATGTGAAGCAATCCAGAGATGCCTCCGATGTCAACAAAGGCACCTGTAAGAACAAGATGTTAGTGAATTCATCTTTGACCATCCATTCACATTGCAGCAATAAAGTCTACCATATGGCTTGATGGAACGAACAATTCCAGTAACGAGCTGACCAGGCTCCAAGTTGACAAGCTTGGTCTCGACAACAGCCCGGCGATTGGAAACAACCAGCCTGTTCTTGGCCTGGTCGACCTCGAGGAACTTCAAGGGGATCATGGTTCCAACAGTATCCTCAGTCATGCCTGTGCAAACAAAGCAAGCATCAGCAACATTCTGCCTTCTGAAGCTCGAGCACTCCTACCTTGGGGAGCGTGGGAGCCTGGGAGGAATCCACGGAGGCCTTCGAAGTTGATCAAGGCTCCTCCACGGTTGATGGAGAGGATCTCAGCCATGATAGTGCAATCCTCGGCCTGTGAATTTGCAGAAAGTCAATATATGTCAAGAGCAAAGTCTGCTTGATCCAAGAAGCCGGAATGAGTTCTACCTGGATCTGACGAACACGCTCCCAGGCACGAGCAAACTCAAGCTTCCTGATGGAGAGACGGACCTGACCATTCTCGTCCTCACCAGAAATGATCTGCGAGGCAGGGGTCAGTCCTGAGGGTCCGAATGTCGGCATGCGATGAGGTACCTGGAACTCACGGTTGTCGGCGATGGAGAGGAACATCTCGATGTCGTCAACACGCTGCATGGAGGCCTCCGCAGCGCCGAGGTAGGCGCTGGACTTGCCTCCGATGTCAACAAGAGCACCTCCTTGCTCGAACTGCACAACTTGGCCAACAACCACATCGCCAACCTGTCGGCACCTCCATCAAACACCTGAGTTGCGATTTCCTAACCGAGTACCTGGAAGGTGTTGTCGAACTTAGCGATGGCGGATTCAAAGTCACTGTAGTCAAATCCAGCGATCTTCTGAGCATCCTTCATCTCCTGGCTGATGCCCCTCTCCAAGGATGGCCTAGCAAAGAAACCGAATGGTCAGCAGGGGACACTGTAGGACAAACTGCGGCAGAGGCAAGTGGAGTCTCGAGCAAAGAGATCTCTGCGTGCGCGAGCAAACAATTCTAGCACCGGAAACATCGGAGAGAGAGTTAGACTTACTTGCCGTACTTGAACCTCATCTTCTCAAACTTGGAGGTCGGGGCGGTGGCCACCATTTTCACACCTCTGCTACCAGCACGGGCAACTCCAGCACGGGAGAGGGAGGGAGAGGAGGAGAGGACTGGGGGACGCAGTCCGAAGGCCTCGGCAGCCTCAGGAGAAGCTGTCAGAGCGAACGCGAGGGCGAGGGCGGACGAGGAGCGCATCGTGAGCATGCAGGAGAGGCCGCACCACGAGAGGAGGGAGGGGAGGGAAAGGAGATGCAGCGGGGGGTGGAGGGTACACCATCTGGGGTGGGGGTATAGTTTCATGGGGTAATCATTTTTAGAAGTCAATTGGGGGTGATACAAAGGGTATTTATTATATGTCTTATCATAAGAAAATATGGATATGTAGTTCTCATGAAGTTCCAATACAAAACAAATTAGGTTTAGTGGGGTGGGGTGATGTAGACGAGGGGTAGATGAACAAACAGTTTCTGGTGGTTAAGTTGGGAATTGTAGGGGGTGGTTTCAGAATACTTGGGAAAATAAGGGGTACCTCTCTGGATTATGAAGAAATCCATGGGGTGGTCACAAAATGGTTGTGGATAACCGGTAATTAAACAGATCAAACATAGGGTAGGGGTCTGAGTAGTACCCCACCGGATGAGGATCACTGGGTCGAAGAGGGGTGGATTTGCAGACTATCTGCAAAGAGGGGTGGAAGTCATTTGCAAGGACCGGTATTTCACAAGACGATCATATGGGTAGGGGTGGTCCACAGCAGCGTTATGAGTCCGCTAAAGACATATGGTCATCCGAGGGTGGGGGGTAAGTAGAAGGGGGGTGGAGATTTGGGGTGGGAAATCTTGGGGTATTATCATGGAAAAAGGAGGGGTGAAAATAAGCTTTTGGGGGGTGGTGATGGAGAAGGGGTCATCAATTCGAGGAAAAAAGGAGGTTGGGGTAGGGTGTGAAGTTTGAGGATGGATGGGTGATCACAGGGATTGAGAGGGGTAGGGGTAGTAGAAACGGGGCCGCTTACAAGCTAGCTTCACTACTATGGGCCTCGTGACCCTGGAACCCCTACCCACCTTCTCCTGGATTTCCGACCCCACACCCTACCCACCAAATGTCTCTGCTTGTACCCCTTACTATTGCTCAGAACCCTTGGAAAAAAGGGGTTCAGGGCTGATTACCAGGGGGTTGTTACTACCCCACCCGCACCAACGTGAGGTGAGATAAGGGTAAGAGGGGGATGAAAAGAGAATGAGGGAGATGATGAGAGAAACAGGCTGAGCGGGGATGAGGGCAAATGATAGGGAGATTTGGGGATGAGGGTCCAAATGTAGGTCCTAGTGACAGTCTGTAGGACGGTAAGAAATTTGGGTCTAGGAAAGGGCTTTGGAGGTCCTATCTTCATACAAGCTTGTAAATGGAAATTGTAAACACTCTGGGTCATAGGATGTTGCTAGGATGTCTGCCATTTAGGTCATAAGAAATGACATAGGAAGGTCCTAGGAAAGATTATAGCAGTAGCTGTTCGACGATGGCGCAGGTACGCGTCGCAGAGGATGGGAAGAACGGACAGAGCGAGGAGGAGGAAGGCATTGACATGGGGGTGATTGAGAGAGTGGAGGAGGCGTTCTTGAGATCGTTCCACCCCGTAAGGAGAACAGCAACATCATAGTAGGTGCTCCTGGATGTCTGCAACAGAAGGGAGAAGAGGAGTGAACACTCAAGACTTGGGAGTGACGCAAAAACAGCTTAGAGTTGTGAACTGCAAGCATTGAGAGCTCGGTTAGGATAATTGTTTGTTGGTAGAAGTCTTCTCTCCCCCCCCCCCCCCCCCCCCCAAACTTTCATTCCGTCATTGAAACCAATCTGGGAACGGAGTGGATTGGGAGTTTTTTGGGAATAATTTTGAAATGTCTTTTTGGAAATTGGGAAGATCTACCGAAAGAAACAACGGTTGGAATGTAGTTTTTCAACCAAAAACTGCGATCTCCACTCTTCGAACCGGATGATCCGGGTGAAGGGCGGAGGCGACCCAACTCCCTGGAAACGGAGCAGGGCTTCCGCGGATTGTCAAGGCTTGGGGTGAGGAGGTCCTCCCCTGGGCTTTGGGGGGTTTTTTTTCTTCCCCCATGAAAGCCATGACGGGGCTTGCTGAAATTCCGTTCAACTACTCCAAATTTCCAAAACTGGCTTTTCCCAACTGCAACCCAGGCTGGATGCCTCCCCCCTCCTCGGTTTGGGCCAAGGACCATTTTTGAAGCTCCCCCAACGTTTCCTCGGGGGACCTCTTTCATACACCTTTTGGAAAGGGCTCTATCCCCCTGTCGACAATGGGAACGTATCTGAATTTTTTCTGTCTCTAGGAACATGTGGTT